GGCGCGGGCACCTTCCAGATTGCGGCGCGCCTGCTCCTCCTGCGCTGCCTCGCGGAGGGACAGGTTGACCGCCAGCTGTTGCGCCGCGGCCTCGGCCCCCTCGAGAGCTCGCTCCCGTTCGGTGAGCGCGTCCTCGCGGAGGCGGAGCGTGAACTCTTCTTCGGCGCAGGCAGCCTCGTGCGCCGCCAGCGTTGCTTCCCGGATGGTGACGGCGGCCTTGCGGTCCGCCAGATCCCTCTCCACGACGCAGGCGCGCTCTTCCAGCGCCATGGCGCGCGCCTCAAGGGCCTCTTCGCGCCGCCGGGACGCCGCTTCGGTCTCCGCCGCCCGCTGTTCTCGGGCAGCGGCAGCGTCAAGCACCCCCTGGGTGGCGTCGAGCTTCTTCCCTAGCTCCGCCTCCCAGCTCCCGTATTGAAGGCGGAGGGTGTCCTGCGCCTCGTTCATCACGGTGGTGGCAATGAGGGCAGCCCCCCGCTCCTCCTCCACTTCCTTGGCGATCTCCGCCAGCACCTTCTTACGAGTTTCAAGCTCCGAGACATGCCGGCGGTGAGCCTTACGGCCCACCTCCACCATGGCCTCCACCGAGCGTCGCCCCTCTTCGACACGCGCCCACGCGGCGTCGAGCTCCGCCCGCTCTGCCTGCAGGACCTCCACCTGGGCACTTAACCCATCCAACACCGTGGTGTTTGCGGCGGCCAAGGCCTGCAGAAGGGGCTCTGCGTTCAGTAGGGCGATAGAAGGCGTGGGGAAGAGCCGCCTTGGAGAGGATGCCACGCGGCTCGGGCCGCCGATGGAAGTGCCGGACTCGGGGATGTCCCCCGGACCCGGTTGGTCCTGAGCGTCGCCCGAGGGAGTAGGCCCAAGCGACGCGCCCGCGGCCTCTTCGCCAGCTGCCCCGGAAGTTGTCGCCTGAGTGTCGCCTGAGGGAGTGGGCCCAAGCGACGCGCCCGCGGCCTCGTCGCGAGCTGCCTCGGAAGTCGCCATCGCCTCGTCCTGGCGAAATCCGGCCTCCTCCCGAGCGGCTTCCCCGGCCTGGCGGGCCCGGGCGGCCTCCTCCCGAGCGGTTTCCTCGGCCTGGCGAGCCCGGGCGGCCTCCTGGGCGGTCTCCTCGGCTTCCCGTAGGCGATCCGCGGCCTCTCGCCGGTCAGATTCCCGCCTGAGGGCCTCTGCGGCCGCCGGATCCTCGGCCTCAGACTGGCCGGACTTGGAATGGCGGGAGGGACGCGACGGGATCTCGCTGAAACAAAAGAAAAAACCAGAAGACGAACAAGATGGGTGAGTGAAAACTCGCGTTGAGAGAATGAATACAGCCACGATGGGTGAGAGACGAACCTGCGAGGGGGTCGGTTAAACGACCACTTTGGAGGGGAAATGAGGTTTCCCCGAGATGGTTCTGTCTCCCCCATCTTACGGGGCCGCTTCTTCTTGCGCTCCCCCTCGGGCTGCGATGTTGGCGCGGCCCCCTCCGGGCGCCTGTTACTGGCACGCGCCGCCCCGCCCCCTCGGGGAGGAGATGGGGGAGGTGTTCCTCCCTGCTTCCTCTTCCCCCGGGCGTCGGCAGGGCGGCTGCTCCCCGGGCCCCTGTCGCGGGACCCAGAAGCACGACCCCCTCTCGGGGTAGATTGTTCCCCCCTGCGGCTCCCGCCTGCGCCGTCGTGGCCCTTTGGAGCTCGCTCCTCTGAGGCCCCGACCGCCATCATAATGGTCAGGATGGAGGCACGGTCTGGATCGCTGCAGAGGGGGAGGATTCCTTGGGGAATGAGGGCCGCCTCTACGGAGTTGAGATTCAGCACCCGTTGGACCAATATCTTGAAGTCCTCAGGAGCCCAGTCCCATCTCACTCCCTGGTGGGTCCTCGTGAAGTCTTCGGACCCGGTGTACTCCCAAGCGCCCCGAGCGCGTCGCTGGAGCGGCGCAATCCGACAACGGAGGTAGTCGCCGTACACCATGGCCCCTGTGAGCCCCTGGGATCGTAGGCCCGCCAGGCGGTCGAGGACGGCGTCATAGCCATCCCCCAGATCTACCGGCGCCCGCCAGCTGGAGGCCTGCGCCGGGGGCTGGCTCGGAAGTCGGAGGCGCGCTTCGTCGGCGAGGGGAGTGTAGAACCAGTCGCTCTTCCAGTCGTCCCACTTCTTGCGGAGGGCGCAGGGGATGTAGCGGTTCAGCACCGGCCCCCATGGCTGGAAGTAGCAGCCACCGACTACCGATGGCGGCGACACCGACTGCACGGTGAAGAACCACCGGAACAGCCGAAGAGATGGGCGCACCCCAATGAACATCTCGCACAGATGCGCGAAGATGGCCAATGTCATCACCGCGTTGGGGGTGAGGTGCGCCATCTGGAGATCGTAGAACTCCAGAACATCCATGAAGAAAGAAGAAAATGGTGGAACCAGCCCTGCCATTGCATAGGGGAGAAAGAAGACGGACCGCCCCGGGTAGTCTGGCGCCGGGCGTCCCTCGCCCAGCGTGACTATCTCCCGGCCGGTGGCAGATTCCGGCATGAAGCGGCGCGACAGCCCAGCCTGCCTCTCGCTCACGATCCGGGAAGGCGGCAGCACGCTACCATCGAGCAGAGCGGAACCCCGTGCCATGGCGCCGGAGGAAGAGAAGATTAAGAGCGAGCGTGTGTGGCGAAGGTAGGGCACATGAAAGAAGGAGTTAGGGCGCAAGCGGCGAAGACAAGGGGAATAATGGCGAAAGGAAGGAAACAGATCCCTTCCTCAGTGCCTTTATACTCTTGCCAACGCTGTGCCCGGCTCCTCGCTTCTCGCGCCCACTATTTCGCCCCCTCGTTTCTCGCGCCCACGCTTCCACTAATCCCATTCGCCCGCTTGCGGCGCATGAGGTGGGTATGCGGTTGTGGCAGTCGAGATAGATCATATCGTGCGTAGATCATATCGTGTGCGCGTTAATTACGCTCGCCGACCGAAGCGACGTTACCATATCTTCAGACGAAACGAATCGCCATGTCCAGATTCGTGTGCTACTCAAGTAATGTGGCAGTCTTGAAGAGACCGCTCATTGTTGACAGCCGAGTTACCATTGCCGATGTGCGTGGTTTGTGACCGTTGGGTTTCTGCCCAATTGTGGAGACCGGTCCCACCTGTCACCAGGTCTTAGGAGTGGCGTCACGCCCGACCGTTTCCCTTAAAGAGGGCGATCGCCCTGGCATAACGCCGAGGGCTACTGTCGGTGACATGGGATCAGGAGTATCATGACTAGAGGTTTGAGGCAGACACAATCGCACACGTGGCCTGGTACCCCCGAGGGACGTCGGGCCCGAGGGTGATGCGTTCGCCCTCCTCTTAGTCCCCCCGAGGGGGTCGGGCCGCACCCCCCTCGGCCCCGAGGGCCGAGGCGCCCCGACCCCTCGTGGGTTTTTGCTCCGCGTGTATGGGTTAGGTGAGCACAGTGGGACTCACCTAACCACATTTATTGCGGTTTGGCTGAGCGTGTCACGCCGCATGTAACGCAGTGCAGTGCACTCGTTTATCCGGTCTGTGACCAGTCACAGACCGGTCAGATCGCGGGTTAGGTGGCGACAGACGATCTGACGCACGCATCGCCCCATCCCGTCAGGACGAGGGCTTCTAGGCGCTCATCCCCAGCTGGAGCTAGCGTGTTACCTCCCAGAGATGGCACGTTAGTCCTGGTCAGATATATGCCAGGCTTCATCCTAACCATTACAGGCAAGATGTTGTGTGAAGAAGGGCGAGCATGTAGATTGCTAAGCTGACACGTGGTGGACAAGAATGACCGACGTGACTGGTCTGATACCGGTCATGTCGTCAGTAGACAGCCACGATTCCACGTCGCACCTGCTCCCGGCGAAAGTGGAGGTAGTTGTGGGCCGTCTCATCAGAAGGTGACTCGGACGGCAATTATACAAATCTCCGTCCATTTATGAAAAAGGGGGGGGGGGTAAGTCCCCACAAAAAAGAGAGAAATGGTGCATGTGGTATCCCCTTAAGATATAAAAGGAGGACCTTGCCCACTGAGAGGGGGGACTGGACTTTTCCAGATTAGAAACCCAGAACAAGGGAGAGGCTGGCTGATACTTTGTAGCTCCTTCATACACAGATCTCCCAAAACACAGGAGTAGGGTATTACGCTTCTCAGCGGCCCGAACCTGTATACATCGCCCGTGTCTTGTGTGTTTCCTGTCTCGCGAGCCTTCCACATACAGAGAGCTTAGAATCTCTCCCTGAGTCCCCGGCCGAACCGGTAAAGGGGGGCCTGCGCGGTCTCCCGGTGAGGAGCCCCACGCTCCGTCAATATTAGTTTCTGAAACCTCGTGTTTTTCTTGGTAACCGTGTGGTTATCGCCGGGTAGCGATAAACTCCTACCAGAACTTTAAGGAAAACCCTTCATTACCAATATTCTATCGATAATGCTTGAAATCGTTCCAAGGCAAAAGATTTGCCTCATTTCGTTGACAGACAAGATAAAACAACACCAATCCAAAATAACGGCAAATTATCATACACCAGGGCCGGACCTTCAATTTTATGGATTCTCTTTGTTCTTCGTTAAACACCAAAAACATACTACCTCCGTCCCTAAATATTTAACGTCGTTGACTTTTTAAAACATGTTTGACCGTTCGTTTTATTCAAAAACTTTTGTGAAATATATAAAACTATATATATATATATATATATATATATAAGTATATTCAACAATGAATCAAATGATAGAAAAAAAATTAATAATTATTTAAATTTTTTGAATAAGATGAACGGTCAAACATGTTTTAAAAAGTCAACGGCGTCAAATATTTATGGTCAGAGGGAGTATATACTATCCTCGCAAAGTAAATTTGCATGTCAAAGGAACGGATACAACGTCCAAAAAAAAGACTTTTTGAGTTAATTCTTCTACCATATGCACGTAACATTCCTATATATTTGAACCTCTAAACATCTCAACTTTACAAAATACTTGAGCATGCAAGAATTAACTATGAGCCTGTATAGTAAGGTATGAGAGCTTCTGACCTGAAAGTAAAGAGCAAGCCATGTATTATGCTACGTACTTTCCCTGTCCCTCAGATACTCCTGTGACCATACGATGAATACCTCCTATACATAGAGACATCGAACATGCTGATAAGCTGCCTTTTTATTCGTTTGCACCAAGCAACAACAATATCGTCCTGAAAGTTTCTGCATCAGAAAAGACTTGACTAGTGCGGGTCATCGTCTTTGTATCGAACTGGAGTAATAATTAGTCTGAACAAAAACATCGCTTTATAGTCGTACATTCTTTTCAAAATAAATACAGATATTCAAATTTAAACTAAAGGCTGCACTTATTTTAGAATAGAGAGAGCACTAAGTAGGTGGTGTCTGAAACTGATGAAAATAAAGATTAAGTTAGAGTATGTGAAATAAGAAAGCTATTAGCATATGTATGATTAAATAAATTATAATTATTACAAACTTGACAAATGGATATATGTGATATTTTAAAGCAACTTTTATATAGAATGTTTTCGCACAGACGACGGAACGCACCGTTTATTAGTTTAAAAAACGTATTAACGGGAAAACGAGGTAAAATCTAGATATTTGTGACTGACTGGTCGAATTATTACCACGGATTATTTACACGCCTTGAATTGCAACCACGAGTTGGAGCTGAAGCTGAAGGCTCAAGTACGGCCGGCATCTTTGCCAGCCTGCCCGATAGCCGGCCGATTGTCGGAGTAGCTTCTATCGCTGTCTGTCTATCGGCCTTTGAACGGCTCAAGGAAATAGACATCTGACAGTAATAGCATGGGCCACACGTCTAACAGCGATCCCCGTTCTAGGCCCAACTGATATATGGGCTTCCATTAGGCCCGCAGTAAATTGGCCCAACAACGACGGCCCACGTTAAACCTCGGAATCTTTACGGCCCAACTTTGTTTGGGCCGTATGTTCACCACGATATACGGGAAGGAACACTGGCCGTAGTTTTGGCCCAACAAACCGTACTACAGTTTCTCCATCGTACAGTATTATCTGACTGTTCAGCAGTACGGCAGCTGACATGTGGGGCCCACGTGTCAGTCACAGATGGTCGGTTGGGTCGGCAAACCGCCAGTCTGCAACGGCCAAGCTGAAACCGCGGCGGATTTCCTTGTTTCGTGGGAGACGAGACGAGACGACGGCTGCCCCCAAAACCGAGGGCTGGAGGGCACGCTTCACAGTGCACACACATATGCTTCATCTTCTCCAGCTATCCATGCAGCTTCCGTCCATTGCAGTAGTAGACAATCTTATCCACTGCTCATTCATGCATTCGATTATATTCTCTTCTCGTACTCGTAAAGAAAGATGTTTTGGACAGCGAAACGGTCTCCAAAACACAACTTTGACTTATTGTTTCTATAAAAATATTTATTGAAAAGTGATATATGTATACTTTTATAAAAGTATTTTTAAAACAAATCTATTCATATAATTTTTATATTTTCAAACTCAACAAATTAAGAGTTATTCATGATTTATATTCCCAAGGGTTTGATCCTAAACGACTTCCTTTGCGAGTACGGATAGAGTACTATGGATTACTTAAAGTCATCAGAGCAAATTTAATAGCGTAAGCATATGCTAGTTCTAAAAATTAAAACATCGTCATATCATCCATAGCCAATTTACTAGCGTATAAAAAATATTTTTCATGTAAATATACACTACATCATTATATTTGGCCCATCATATCTTGGAGCACAGCTGGTAGAACAAGTTTATAACTCGTTTTTTCTCACTTCCGCGTATGCTTAATTGCTTATACTAATCAGATGTAAAAAAAAAAATTAGCCAGGCAGACTGACAAACCGGCCAGTACGTGTCACCTCCCACGTGTCGCCGTTCTGTTCTGGACGGTCAGATTCATCTCGCCTCTGAAAACTCAAAATTCTTTTTCGCAGTACCTTTTAACTCTGAAAATTGACTAGATGTACTGAAAAGAGTCGGGTACAACATGCTCCATCCGTTTCAAAATGTTTGACACCGTTGACTTTTTAGTACGTATTTGACTATTTATCTTATTCAACAAATTTAAGTAATTATTTATTATTTTCATATTATTTGATTCATTGTTAAATATACTTTCATATACACATATAGTTTTACATATTTCATAAATTTTTTTAATAAGACGAATGGTGTCAAACATTTTAAAACGAAGGGAGTATAATAAGCGCCACATGTCATTGATGGCAAATAGTTATTTCAAGTGGCAAACAGTTAAAAGCCCCCGGTTTCAGAGAGAGAACAGTTAAATGCCCCCGGTTTCAGAGAGAGCATAGTGCCACCGACCAATCCAGCATGCAACCGCCTCCCGATTCGTCCCTCCCACTCCCACTCGTGGTTTCACCTCAAAACCATGGTCTCCTTCATGCTTCCCGCCTTGCTGCCTTCGCATCCTCCTCCCTTGCATTGCGTTGCTTGCTGCTGCCTATAAATCCAGAGCTCCCCTTCAAGCACCATCTCAACTCACTCTCGATCAAACTAGTAGCCAGTACTCCTCGATCTCCTTGGGTTAATCACCTCCTTCGCTTCAGACTTTCTCTTCAGCTCCCATCCCATCATCGTCTTGATCGCGATGGCAACGGTGACCCGTGCTCACCTGGAGCAGAGGCTCGCCCTGGCCAAGCGCTGCTCGCGTGGTACGTATACGAAGTCATCAACTACTCCTACAATGTTCTTCGTCTTTGCGTTAATTGAATTCCATGGCACCTAACTGAATATAAACTGATGCATAATACCTGCAGAGGCGAACATTGCAGGGGTTAAGGCGGCTGCCGTTGCGACCATCGCCTCCGCCGTTCCAACCGTAAGTGTCTACTATCTCAGATCATGCTACGCTAGGATTAATTAGCCCTTTTTCTCGTGTCAGTTCTTCATTAGCAGAGTAGGAGTACTAACTTAGAGCACATTTTATGTGTTGTTTCATCGATCAGCTGGCGAGCGTGAGGATGCTGCCATGGGCGAAGGCGAACATCAACCCGACGGGGCAGGCGCTGATCATCTGCACGGCGGCCGGGATGGCATACTTCGTGGCCGCCGACAAGAAGATCCTCTCGCTGGCGAGGAGGCACTCCTTCGAGAACGCACCGGAGCACCTCAAGAACACCTCCTTCCAGGGCGCCGGCCGCCCTCACCCTGCCTTCTTCAGGCCATGAATTTCTCCTAATCAACTAGCTATAGAAAAAAAAAATGCTGCTTGCATTGCTAGGCTAGCTGCTGCTTCAGAAAGTGTTTGCTGTGTACTTGGATCGATGTAGTATACTGTATGTCTGTATCTCCAGTTTGTAGTACTAATAAACAAATCTTTTGAACTTGAGAACGAATTACATTGATGTGGTGGTTTTGTGGTTCATGTGCATTCTACAAGTTTCTTGCTCTTCCAACGACGCCAACAAATTAGAAACTGTCTGTCAGCCTGTGAACTACTCTCAAGTATAAGAAGTAACTGTGTAAAAAAAAAAGAACTACTACTAACTCTCATATGTATCTATACAAGAAAAATGATATGGAAGTTGCAGATACTTGTTACAGAGAGAATATCATAGGAATTAGCCCTACATGGGCATTTCAGAGTAATTAGCTAGCCAGCACATTTGAGCAAGTTAATTACAGACAATCTTCACCCATCTACCGAACAGAAAGCTATTAGATGAAGATGACTCTTGGTCGAAGCACAAACAGGTGATTAATATCAGCTGCGGAGAAATTTAGATTGCGGCGCACAACGCCATACTGCAATCATGCGACGTCGGCCCCATCAAGCAACGCAGAGAGCGAACAGCTTTTCTTATCCTGCTTTCGACTTTTGTGCGCTAAAAAAAGACACAGATAGATGCAGAGAGCCCCCACACAGATGGAGAGATTATCTTCAGACATGATACAAGAAGTGGACAGGACGGTAATGCTAGCTGCTGGTGTGATGGTGCCGATCGCCCACAAACCGGCGGCGCTCATGCCATCGACTGATCGATCTATCCTGTTTCAGAAAACACAAGGGCCAAGATGTTTAGTTGCCCTTCAGATTTAATTTACGGTTATCTTTTTGGGGGAGAAAAGTTAAGAAATTTTACAGTCAGTTTTGAGGCAAGGTGAGAGTATAACTGTAGTTTTCTCTACTGGCAATACGTGTACTAGAGCTACGTATAGTACTTGCACAATGTACGTATATACATACAGTGCCGGCCTGACAGGTGGGCCCACGGCAACCTGACAGCCTATAAAATATGCTGGTGGCCATACACGCAGCTCACAGAATCGACGTTGCTGCTGCTGCTGCTGCTGACTGAACCGGTTTCGCCCGAAAACTAGGAGCGTTTTCGCGGTCGCGTCGCGTTCGTCAGAGCGAAAACTGCCGGCAACCGAGCGGCACACATCCACGGATTCAGACCAAAACTGACGGCAAAATCACAACACAACGCGTCACGATGGTCGTCGCATTCGTGTGCATGAATCATGCATGGTTGTTCACGGGTGCCGTTCAAATGCTACTATACAAAATTCAGCTGTTTACTGTGGCTGGCTGGCTTCACCCTACCTTGTTCTTCTTCAGAGAACAAAAAGTGCCGGTTCAGTACGTACACATGACGGCCGGGTCTCCATATCTCCGAAAAATCTATGAATCGGATCAAGTAAAACATGAGTAAAAATTCGGCGGTGTCCAACTCGAACCCTAATGCATGCGTATGCGAGTGTTGAATCGATTTGACTAATTCCGTCACCAATTCCTATCACTAGCATATCAGCACAAACAGTCCAGCTTCTGCTAAAATCAAAAACTCCCTCATATATATAGTTAGCTTTTCATCCATATTCTCAAAAGCTGTAGTTAAAAAATTCAGAAAATAAACTAGAAATAGAAGCTGGGAAACCCAATTTCTGTAAATTCTCGAAAGCTGATTATCAAACCTTCCTACCATTTAGAAAACTTATTCTACAAATATACCCCTAAGAAAACTTATTTTAAAAATGGTTGTTTTTGTGGCGCCAATGTTATTGGCGCCGTGGTCCAACGTGAAGACGTTAATGACGTTGACGCTATCCCCATAGCCCCTCAGTGAAATCTAAATCACTAATGTGAAGGGAGATAGTGCCAATGTTGTTAGCGCCGTGACCACCGTCATGTTGGATCATGATGTCAATTATGTTAGCGCCACGAAAAGAATAATAATTTTTTTAGATATATTTATAGGATAGCTTTTTTTTTTAAGGAAAATGCAGCTCATCGATCGACCCAAAACCGAGGGCACGCTAGCATAGTGCACACGCATGCATCATCTTGAGGGGGTGTTTGAATACAAAGACTAAACTTTAGTCTCTATCACATCGGATGTTTAGACACTAATTTAAAGTATTAAATATAGACTAATTACACAGATAGAGGCTAATTTATGAGATAAATCTATTAATCCTAATTAATCTATAATTAACACATATTTAATTTAATATTTATTTTAGCACTGCATTGTCAAATAAGTTAGTTAGACATGGTTAACTTATTATACATATTAGCTCAAGTAGTATAAGCTAATAAATAATAAGTTAGCTATACCATTAAATTTGCTCTTAAAGATAATCAGGCAGGCTGACAAACCGGCCAATGTCACCTGCCACGTGCCGCTCAGATTCATTTCGACTCTGAAAAGTTTTTCTTTTGGCAGTAAAACCGATAATACTCTTTTCTTTTTAACTCTGAAAATGTTCAGGATCTACTGAAAAGAAGGCATGTACGGAGCACATACATACGTACGTGGAGTGGAGAAGTACGTCAGAGAAAACAGGGTGCGGGAAACTCTTTTAAATACTTGGGTGAACGTACATCCGTTTCTTGCATGTCATTTAAATAGTTATGAAAAATTTTAAAAAAAATTGACATGATAGGTTAATATATAATATATCACTTCACAAATATGTAAGTTCAAATTCGACTTCTAAAAATTATAACAAAAATAACAAGACTTCTAAAAATTATAACAAAAATAACAAATTTGACTGTGAATATACGTATACTAGTTAGAGTTTGATTTGTTATTTTTGTTACAACTTGTAGAAGTCGAATTTGAACTTGCATGTTTGTGAAGAGATATATTACATATTAACCTATCTTGTGAATTTTTTTAGAATTTTTTCATAATTATTTAGGTGACATGTAAGAAACGGGTGAACGTCCACCCGAGAGATTAGATTAGAATCCATCCTCAACAGGGGGCAGATCGAGCACAGTGCCACCGACCACTCCAGCATATGCAACCACTCGTGGTTTTCACCTCAAAACCATGGTCGTCTCCTCTCCTTGGTGCGTGCGTGCTCCCCCACCTTGCTGCCTTCGCATCATCCGATGATCGCATTCTCTCGCCTATAAATCCAGACCCCCTCCTCTTCAATCTCATCTCATCTCATCTCGCTCAGCACTACTGATCCAACCAGTAGGCGATTCTCTCCACCTCCCAGCTACTTCACTTCAGGACTAGTTTCTTCTCAGCTCCATCGATCTTGCTCGACAATGTCGACGACGGTGACCCGTGCTCACCTGGAGCAGAGGCTCGCCCTCGCCAAGCGCTGCTCCCGGGGTACGTACGCACGCACACTAAACCACCATGTTTAATCTCGCTTTGTCTTGCATTCCATGGCGCTAATAACTGAATATATACAAACTGATGTATGCTTCGTCGATCTGCAGAGGCGAACCTTGCAGGGGTTAAGGCGGCTGCTGTCGCGACCATCGCCTCTGCCGTTCCAACCGTGAGTGTGCTCAGATGCTACTAGCTTCTTCTAATTCCTCCTTGTGTTGATTCTTCAGCAGAGAGTAGGTGTACTAACTTATTAGCTGCATATGTGTGTTGTTTCATCGATCAGCTGGCGAGCGTGAGGATGCTGCCATGGGCGAAGGCCAACATCAACCCGACGGGGCAGGCGCTGATCATCTGCACGGCGGCCGGGATGGCATACTTCGTCGCCGCCGACAAGAAGATCCTCTCGCTGGCCAGGAGGCACTCCTTCGAGAACGCACCTGAACACCTCAAGAACACCTCCTTCCAGGGCACCGGCCGCCCTCACCCTGCCTTCTTCAGGCCATGATCAGCAAGCTAGTGCTGCTTGCAATCTGCTGCAGAAAGTAGCTAGTGTTGTGTACTTGGATGTAATATACTGTATGCTCCAGCTTGTATTAATAAACAATCTTAATTTGATGAACTCAAGAATGGATGCGGTGGTTCATGTGCACTGTAGTACATGTTTCTTGTTCCTTGAACTCGAACGAATTTGAACTGCCTATACATTTTGTAAACGTCCCCTAGAACACTCGTATATAAGACGTCTAAAAGTAAAAAGAACTCTCATTTGTATCTGCACAAGAAAGCGAAATGGAAGCTCCAGATCTTCAGAGAAAATGTCACACGAGTATCTAGACTGAAGAAAGACAAATCCACTGATCTGAATCTCCTTTCAGATATCTGCACTTGAGAGTAAATTAGCTAGCACATTCGAGCAAGTTACAGACAATTCTCACCCACCTGGAGTAGCTAGCAGCAGTAGCATTCAGTCCCAAAACGTACAGAAAGCTATCAGATGAAGATGACGACGCTTGGTCGATCGAAGCAGAAAAACAACCGATTAATATCAGCTGCGGATCAGAAAATCGAATTGCGGCGCACGACGGCGCCATACTGCAATCATGCGACGTCGGCCCCATCAGGCAACGCAAAAGAGCGAACAGCTTTTTCTTATCCTGCTTTAATTTTGTGTGCTATAGAAAACGACAGAGATGCAGAGAGAGCCCACACAGATGGAGATCATCTGCAGACATGGTAAGAAATGGACAGGAAGGGGTGCTGCTGGTGGGTGCCGATGGCGACGCCCACAAAACAGGAGCGGCCATCGATGACGTTCAGCCGACCGGCGGCCTACGGTTTTTCAGACCGGCCGGCGATCGATCTTGCTCTTTCAGAAAATGCAGAGGCCAAATCTCATGTTCGTTGTTTAGTGACTCCAGAATTACAGTAATTTTTTTCTGATCAAGCAGATTTAGTGCTAGTATCAATTTTCCGTCAGTTTTGAAGTCTACAGTGACTAACTGTAATTTTCACTAGTAGAGCTACATATAGGCTATATTCGGATGTCTTTGTTGGAAATTAATCCTTTGTGCGCATGTAAAACAGAACAATTCATTAGCACATAATTAATTAATTATTAGTTTTTTTAAGAAAATGAATTAAAATAAAACAATTTTCACATATAACTTTTTTTCTTAAAAATATCATTTAACGGTTCGAAAAACGTATACTACAGTGGATGGAGTATTCCTGCGTACGTACGGTGCCGGCCTGACAGGTGGGCCCAGAGCAAACCTGCAAAAAGTCTAGAAGTTCATTGGAAGCATTACCAAACAGCCTATGCACACACGCGTTTCAGCTCACAGAATTATGCCTTTGCAACTTTGAGAGAGAGAGACGTTGCTACTGCTGCTGACTGAGCCGGTTTCGCCCGAAAACTAGGAGCGTCATCCGTCAGAGCAAAAACTGCCGGCAACACATCCACGGATTCAGAGCAAAACTGATGGCAAAATCACAACACAACGCGTCACTCTGGTCGTCGCATTCGTATGCAAATCATGGTTGTTCACGGATGGGTTCAAATGCTAAAAATATTCAGCTGTTTACTGTGGCTGGCTGGCTTCACCTACCTTGTTCTTCTTCAGAGAACAAACGTGCCGGTTTCTCCAAATCTCCTTAGAATCTATGAACCAGATAGAGTAAACACAAGCAAAAAAATTCGTTTTGTCAAAAACTCCAAACCTAATGCATCCGTATTCGCGTGTTGAATCGATTCTCCCAATTCGGTCACCGTTTTGACTCCATCACTAGTATCTCAGCACAATCGAATAATTTTTTCAGCGCTTTGAATCCTGCAAATTGTGTTTCTTGCACTCCATTAGGCAAAGCTTGAGAACATTATAATTTCTCTCCAGAATATCATGCATCCATGCTAGCTACGTTCTACCTAGACTACTACAAGTAGGAGTAGCTAATTAACTAGAGTTATTCTTCTACCTAACCAGATCTCTCAGACCATATCATCCTGAAGAAAAATTCAAGATTTTGGGTAGAAAAGGAACCAAGCAACCAAAATATTTAGTTAAATCGAATCCCCAAACCCTGTGGGTGCACCACAGTTTCAGGCTCAAATCCGTTGGTCCCTGTAAAGCGTTGTACAAATGTACAGTGCTAGCTGCTGCTTTCTGAATGAGTGGAGTGCACTATGCAGTGTGCAGGTTGGCCACCAACTTCCAAACGAGTAAAACTCCGGAAGCAGAGGTCCATTGAACCTACCCGGCTCGTGGGTTTCTGCACAAAACCGTGGCCGCGCGCCACCAAGTTCATCCCATCCACTCCTCGATCTCCTCGTACGCCTATAAAATCATACGGCTTCTTGCTCTCTTGGCAATGCAAGCCAACTGAACGAACTCAAGAACAGATTCAAACAATTGTAGCTGATTCCTCTCTGCTTCTCGTTGTTCTTGGTTGGTTGTTGTTGTAGAAGAAGAAGAAGAAGAAGATGTCGACGGTGACTCGTGCCTACTTGGATCAGAAGCTCGCACTCGCCAAGCGCTGCTCCAGAGGTGAACATTTATGCTGCTTATAAGTGATTTACCTGACGGTCAGTCACTGTAGCTTGGTTCTTACATTGGTGGTTGAATTGTTGCAGAGGCGACGCTCGCCGGAGCCAAGGCTGCGGCGGTGGCGACGGTGGCATCCGCCGTCCCAACGGTGAGCTAAACTGACAACGAAACATTCAGATTTTCAGAGTTTTTTCCTTGTGTACTGATCTTGCGATGAAATCTGCTGCTGTAAAAAAATTCAGTTGGCGAGCGTGAGGATGCTGCCATGGGCGAAGGCCAACATCAACCCGACGGGTCAGGCGCTGATCATCTGCACGGCGGCTGGGATGGCATACTTCGTCGCCGCCGACAAGAAGATCCTCTCGCTGGCGAGGAAGCACTCGTTCGAGGGCGCACCGGAGCACCTCAAGAACACCTCCTTCCAGGGCACCGGCCGCCCTCACCCAGCCTTCTTCAGGCCATGAGGAACACTGAACTTTCACAGTGACTGATGGAAGCCTGGATAAACTGCTACTGCTGCTGAGTTCATGCGTAATGGTTCTATAAGTTGTGATGTAATTAGTTTTGTTGTTGTTGATGATGAAAATGAAATCAATGAGAACTAGTACTTTGTTTTTTTACCCTGTTCTGAACTTCATCTGAAAACTCGTTGATGTCTTCACCTTCTTCAAAACAGTTGATGAACACTTATCCCCTAGCTAGTTAGTTGGTGTGAAATTTGAAGCCAAAAGCTATAATTAAAAAGATTTTCAGATAGCACATACTCTCCGATAGTCAAAAAAAAAAGAGACAACTTTCATACATGAATCTTTTCTTTTTCACAAGGGAGTACTTTTATACTAGTATTGAATAATGTAGTGGATATTGGATAAGCAGTGTCAAGTTTTTCAGAGTGCACTAATGCAAAGCAAAGGTGATGTGAACCTTCAGAAAATGTAGTACTGCTAGTATATACAGTAACAGAGCAACGGTACAGTGATCTGGTAGACTGGTACGGATACATGACGACGCCACGTCACCTCGCCGGTATAGCATATCGCCAGCTCAATATATGGCCAAAGTAACCAAGATTGATGTACGAACGAAGTTCTGTTTTCCCAAATCAACCAGCTAAACTGCTGCTGGTTTTATAGAGAATGAATTCTTTTATAGCTTAACTTCGAAAAAAAAGAGATTTGTAGAAAGAAATGTTTCTCCAGATGCTTTTCTTAAAAAAATTGTTTAGGAATTGAAAATAGTATCTTAGAGTTGAAATTAAATTGGCATATCCCTTACAATTAACGCTACCAAGTGCATTTCCTAAAAGTTAGGCTGTGTTTGTGTTTAGTTCCATTCAAACTTTTAAAAATTTCGTCACATAAAATATTTGGACATATTGTCAACGTTTGATGTCGCGATTCCGGTATTTGCATAGTATGGGGATCGTTGGTACTAGGATATATGCGAGACTTAGGTAAAAGAGACGGAGAGGAGGATTTTTATACAGTTTCGGGCCCCTGAATTATCAGATAATAACCCTACTCCTGTTGGCTGAAGCCGGTCGTTGCTCTTATTCACTATGATCACACCAGTACAATATTTGGGGTAACTTATCTAACTGTTGTCGACATAGTGGATTGAAGTATCGACAACAGGGTAGTTTTTCTCCTCGAATCCGTGCTCGGCGAGATCAGAGGCATCGCTAGATCTCTACAACCGGCCTCTGTAGGTACCGGATAGGGTCAGTCCAGGCATATCTCTGATGTCGATATCCGGCGGCACGTCTTGGCGTATATTGGCTTGTATGTTGATATGTATCTTGATCTGTTGTTCCCTCTCCCCTCTCCTCCTAAGGTGTCTTGTATTTATATCCATAGGTGTTCCATTTTTCATGTAGAACTAGGGAAACCAATATGGATACAATTCGAGTAGTTTTTGTCGTTTCCATATAAAACTCTATTCTTCCTTCCTTACGCGGAACTCCTCTTATATCTGAAGGATATTTCCATATAAGACATAGTATGTGGTGGGTCCTGCCGAGATTTAGTCAACTACTATTAAATATGTGGTATCTATAACCCTGACACATATGCATGGAGCATTAAATGTGGACGAAAAAAATCAATTACACAGTTTGCATGTAAATTGCGAGACGGATCTCTTGAGCCTAATTACGCCTTGATATGATAATGTGGAGCTACAGTAAACATTTGCTAATGATGGATTAATTAGACTTAATAAATTCGTCTTACGATTTACAGGCGGAATCTGTAATTTGTTTTGTTATTAATCTATGTTTAATATTTTAAATATGCGTCTGTATACATAAAATTTTTTTGGAAGAACTAAAGACGGCCTTAGTCCCCTTTCATTTTGCCGTCTATAAATATATGCAGAGAGAGAGAGAGAGAGGAGAGAGTAAATGCATATCAACTGTTCAAGTTTAACGGCAGCGACCGTTCGAAAAAGTTTAACGGCAGCGGCCACGGATACAGTGAAAAACATGGAGGAGGATGGTGATCTGATCTATACCGTGGGCAGTGATTGATTGATCTAATCAACCAGTTGCCTGCTGATGATCACCACAAACCCAACTGGATGGACAACTAACGCACAGTACCGAACCCTTCATACTACTCACTTTCCGTTAAAAAAAACCAAATTAAATTAAATGACACATTCTAATATAACGATTCTAAACATTTAATTAAAGTTGTAGGTTTCTGTGCTCAAAATTTGATTGTCCATCTTATTTAAATGTTTTATGATTAGTATTTTTATTGTTATTACATAAAAAATAAATAGTACTTTATGCGATTATTTTTTATATTTTTTAAAAATAAGATAAACGGTAAAACATTAGACACAAACAACCACAACTGCGTTATAACAATTGCACTTATAAATAGAGCGGATGGAGTATTTTTCAGTAGAATAGCAGTAAAGCAAAGTTGGTTGGATCTAGCAGGAGATGATAAGGTGAGATGGGAGAGACTGAAATGGAGCAGATCGCATCAGAAATGGATAAGCGATCCGTACTTTGAGTGGGGCAGCAATGCATTGCTAGTGAGCAGACAAGGCCGGGTGGTAGCCCACAGAGTGAGAGTGCAAGACAGGCATGAGCATGAGTGACGTCGGCGAGGCTAAAAACCAGCCGAAAACTGGGAGCGCCACACAGTTTTCCGCCGCCCCACAAAAAATGCCCAAAACTGACGGCAGATTCGCCATGGCCGGCCACCAACCATGGATCGATCATCACAGATCACGGTGCATTTCAGTTTCATCAGAGGAAAAAAGTAAAAAAAAAAGGCTAGTTGCTAATTGCCCTCGATCTCCACATGGGTTAACTGCTAAATTATTAATTGATGCTAGTCATTAACAGCACTAGTATTTACAGTACTTACTATATGTCATTTGCAAGTGTTTAAGAGTTGAAGAAGATGACTTGTGTGTCCGTTGCACATGCATTCTGGAAGAAGCGGCAACAGAGTGAGGCTTGACTTGTTGACATGCGTCTCTGTGGCCATTTGGTAGCAGCATCTACCACAGGAACGTTGAACCTGACCGCCCACATGATTAGGTTCAGCCAGTTTGACTAACCAGTAAACAGGGCAGTTCGTAGATAGGAGAGGTAGTATTAACAAAATGCTCACTCCTAATTAATTAACTGCTCACCACACGCCCCCACTAACTGCATTAGTCGGGAATCTATGTGCACGCAGTAGTTATAGGATTAATTAGTCCCCAAAGAGAGCTCAAAATTACATCGATCTTGGTTCATGTCTACATCTAGTGAGATGTTATGGATTCCATGAATCAATAGTGAATATTAGTAGCAGTGGATTAAAATAAGGCCATCCCCAACCCTCCATCACTCCATGTATCTAGTGTACATAGCATTAAATATATTGTCACATAAACAAAAATATAATGTGGCAAATATGATGTGGCAAGAGAGTTAATGAGGAGATGGATAAAAAGATGAAGAAGCTATTTCTCATGCAAGAAACCATATCTACACAAGTACCATGAATAAAAACAATGGGATAGATAGATAAAAGGAGAGAGAGAAGAGATTATTGCATGAGAATTTAATTTAAAGACACCAACCATATTGGATATATGGTTTTTACACATGATGTCTATATGACATGGTAAGTATGGAAACTACTGCATAGTTTCTGGGTTGGGGATGGCCCAAGAGCAATTGCAATAATAGACTATAAACCAACTATAAAGTAAAAAAAGTGAAGTGCAGATTTTTCAAGTAGCTCTAGCACGAACTTTTAGACGCTATGTATGAGAGGTGAGACCAGATATTAATGGTGTGATATATATATATATATCACAAACTTTACTAACTAGTTTAAAGCAAGTTTGAACTGAATTTGAACTTATTTTTGTTAGATTTTGATTCTAGGTATATAGCATCCATACATATAATTAGTTAGGTATGTAATCATGGATTGTGAAATAAAGTTAAATTTGAGTTGTTTTGTTGATAAGTATAGGTATGAATCAAATTATTATAACTAGGTATATACTCACAATTTGAAAATTTTGAAAAATTTGAGTAATTTTGTGCATTAGATACCATGGTGCCCGGGCACCATGGTGCCCCATATGAGTGTCATATATATATATATATATATATATATATATATATATATATATATATATATATATATATATATATATATATATATATTTACATGTAACTATTTTATGAATATAATGTTAGATTAGCTTTATAAATTGGCTATACTATTAACTTAAGAACCCTTTGAATCAAATGATTCATTTATGAATTTTAGGACCGCTTTGAATAGCATGAATGGAAAAACGGAGAAAAATGAAAAAAAAAACATGTAGAATTTTGATAAGAATATAAGTGCAAAACAGAGAACTATAAAACGTAAAAAAAACACAGGAATGATCGTTTGATTGGATCGTAGGAAAAACGTAGGAATTAAATAAGAAAGATAAACTCAAAGGAAAATTTTCCAAGAGGCGGTTAGAGCTCTTGCTAAATTATCTTCAAAATCTCTACTGGATTTATCATTCCATAGGAATTTTAAAAGATAGGATATTATTCAATATTTTATTTTAAAAATCTTTAGAAAATATTTTCTCATAGAACTGAAATCCTTCAAAATTTAATTATTTTCCTACAAGTCGAAGGAGCTCGTATAGGATTCAAATCCTATAGGAATTTTTTCTATGATCATTTGATTCAAAGGGATGAAGTTTCCGAATCCTATGAAATTTCTATATAATGACTCATTGCATGTAGATTTTGGAATGAACTTAGTAAGAGCTCCAACCTATCGAAAAATTTTCTTTAAAGCCTATCTCTAATTTCTGCTTTTTTCATGCAGTATAATCAATCAGCCATTCATGTGTTTTGCAATCATTATTTTACGCTCGTATTCATGTCAGAAACATGTTTTTCTCGTATTTATCTTCTTTTTTTTTTTGCAAACCTACAATTCAGAGGGTCCATACTCTTAAGTAATCCAGCTTTGGGGGCTTCAAAAAAGAAAAAGAAAAAACTAATCCAGCTTTGGCAGAGCCCCAGGCACCGACCTGTAGTTGCATCAGCAAACCATGGCTGGACGCGTGGACGGATAGGAACAGATCGAGCGAGGCGAGGCGAGGTAGTGTACGTGCGTGGCGGAATATATGGTATCATCGTGAAGCAGATCGAGGCCGGAGGCGGTTGCCGGCAACGGCCACACGCGCACACATGGTTTCGCCCCAAAACCACGTCCCCCGCCCGCCGCTATCTGCCTCCATCGTCCACTGATTCCTTCTTCATTCCGCTACATCGATCTCTTGGGTCTTGGCTTGCCTGCCTATAAATTCGCAGGCCCCCATGCCTCTCCCCAATCCAATCCATCCATCTCCCTTGCTTGCCGCTACACTCGATCTACTCTCTCACACACTCCTCTGATCTCTCTCTCTCTCTCTCGCTAGTCGATTGGCTTGCCTAGCTCTCTCAAACTGCTCTAGTGCAGTTCAGCAAAAACTAAGTGACTGAAACTAATTTACATGGCAACGGTGACCCGTGCACACCTGGAGCAGAGGCTCGCCCTCGCCAAGCGCTGCTCGCGTGGTACGTGTAGTAGTCATGAACTACAATGTTCTTCGTCTTTGCGTTAATTGAATTCCATGGCACTTATTAACTGAATATATATCGACTGATGCATATATACGTGCGTGCTTTGTGAATCTGCAGAGGCAAACATTGCAGGGGTTAAGGCGGCTGCCGTTGCGACCATCGCTTCTGCAGTTCCCACCGTGAGTAAACTCTCTTTATATATATATATCTCTCTCTCACACACACACACAAATGCGTCTTCTTCAGTTCTTGCTGCTAGCTTTTGTGTGATTTCTTCAGTCTTCATTCATCAGCAGAGCTCATCAGGTACATGTACTAACTTATTATCTGCATATGTGTGTGGTTTATTTCAGCTGGCGAGCGTGAGGATGCTGCCATGGGCGAAGGCCAACATCAACCCGACGGGGCAGGCGCTGATCATCTGCACGGCGGCCGGGATGGCATACTTCGTCGCCGCCGACAAGAAGATCCTCTCGCTGGCGAGGAGGCACTCCTTCGAGAACGCACCTGAACACCTCAAGAACACCTCCTTCCAGGGCACCGGCCGCCCTCACCCTGCCTTCTTCAGGCCCTGAACAATTAGAACAGCATATGCATGCATGAATCTGAAACTTGATCACAGTATCTAGCTCTCGATCGATCCCTGTGTCATATAATAATCGATGTACGCCCCTGCAGAACCATTTAGAGCTGCTTCTGTAGAGCAGTGGTGTTAGTACTCATCTCTGTCGTATCTGCCATTAGCCACCTAATTAAATACATGTACTGCTATCTTGCACTGGGGCTCACTGCATGTAACACTACTGCAGAGTGCATGCACTCCTCATAATGTTCAGAAATCACAAGTGGTACTACTATATATTCCGACCACTATGTATTGATTGTCGGTAAACAGAGAGGTTTGTGCGAAATACTAATCAAGTTGATTACTGCAGTGGTTAAATAACTGGAGATAAAATGGGTTTATATATATGAGGCTTGTAGCTTCAGCAACATGAGCACTGTGTTCTGTGTACCACCTTTCTGCAGATGATGGGTCATTTTTTTTTAACTTGGTTCAAATATATCGATCCTCCTATATGGACAGGTCTCTAAAAAAGTCTCAAACTGAACAATCAAGATTAAAAAAAAGGTGGCGGTTTAGTCTGCACTTGCTGACGGTTTTGACAGGCTATAGTTTTATATGTATATTGTCTGTTGCTTTTTCTTCAACAGATGAACAATTGAATACTGTATGTTTTTGTTTGATTCTTATTCCATCAATCATGCATGAAAACGATTACGGGCATTCTTAATTCCAACTGTGGCATTCATGCATGCAAAAAGTTGCCCTACCATTCGCGTACGTATGTTATGCAGGGTTGGAAATTCCGGAACGAAATTTCGGTTATTTCGGACCCCCTCCGATACGATATTATTTCGGCCAAAAATTTTAAACTTTTTCGTAAATTTTGGTAGCTAAACCGAAAGGTTTAGCCCTGATGTTATGTATACGTACATAGATGAATTAAAAGATTAAGAAAACCATGCATATATAGGTGAAATTTTCAAATTAAAGTCTACACACTAAAATTTGTTACAAACTCTAGTTGTTTAGCTTTTTATAACCACCCTGAACTAGGTAAATCAGACGTTCGAGAACATTTGCTAGTAAGAACTTTTTAATGTGCATACACCACTGCTGCTAGGTGGAAACTGGAGTTACTGGTGGATATCGTGTGCATTTGGTGATGATATCAATTACTCATTAATAGCAAACTATAGAAACCATGACCCATCTAAACATTCAGCTGAATCATCATCAACAGCAGCACGATTAAACATCGAATAATTAAGATAAGGGTAATTTTACATGACATCTAAAGTTCAGTACAATGGCAGCTGCAGGGCTCCAAAACATTCAGCTTCACTGTGGAAGGTACCCTAGGCTGGATGTATCTTCTGATAGCCAAGACCCCTCTGTGACCTTCCATGATAATGTCCCTATCTAGTGGGGGGCATTTGCCAATTTTGCTGCCAGGAGTATCACACCTAAAACCAGTCTGAGAAGCATCCAATGTCAAGCACTCAAGGGAAGTTGTACTCTCAAGGATATGGCATGTCAGCTCAACCAAGCTCTTTACAGAGATGAATGATGTGACCCTCACACTCTTAAGGCTGTGATGCTGCTCTTCTCGTATTGATCTCAGATCTGCAGGATGTGCAAAAATTGAAACATTCTGCACGTACCGCTGCATTACCTAGGATGTGAAAGGGAGAAATTTTAAGTGACATTTCCACCACACAACTACTAATTTTCATTCATAGCAGTAATAATATATGAATGGCAACTCACAGTCAGGTAGAAAGTCTCCAGAGAAGGTGCAGCATGAATATAAGAAGCCAGGGACAAATAGTCATAGGCTGGGAAATATCCAATAAGGGCAATGCTCAAGTGCCTGAGGCAGAGGAATTTGCTACACAGCTTCGGTGCAAAGGCCGTCTGCATAAAGAGGTCAAATTAATTATGCTACAACCCATAAGACAGAATCTAGTCTCATTCATGTGTCAGGCAAAATTTCTCATACCTCTTTGAATGACTTCATGGCAAGAGATTCAAGATTTGGCATGATGGATGGAAGTTCAGCACGAGCATGATAAACATAACCAGAGCGAACCATGCATAGGCTCTTCATTTGCAAAGTTTCTCCAAGTTTCAGTTGCGTTTTGTCCCCTTGAAATGCAAAAATGGAGACATTAGGAGCTTCATTTTCTATCAGTTTCAGATTGTCGCACCCAAACACCTTCAGGGAGATGAGCCGCTGCAGTAGGCAAGGTACCTTCAGGCAAACAATCCTATCGCAGTACCTGATTTCCAACTGCTCCAATGCAAGAGAATGGGAAAGAAAGCAGCTTAACTCGTTCTCCGTAATACGCACACAACAGAGATACAATCTCGTCAGACTTCTTAAGCCACCAAGTGTGACTGTTGGGTGGAAGGAACAGTTAGAAAGGTGAAGATATTGGATTGAGTCTCCACTCCCATTCGACAGAAGAGAGCATGGGAAATTGTACTTTGCCTGGAACTGGGTCAGTGAAATTATGAGTTCTTCAATCCCTGGTTTAACACCAATCTGAAGCCAATTGTTGAGATATGAAGAGCCCTTCCCACTATAATCTGAATATACCTTAATCGTAAGTTTTTTCACGCCGATGCCTGAGTGCCTTTTGAGAATGTGGTCGACTTTGCTGTAGAAAAGTCCAGCCAATTCTTCCTTTCCACATGCATTTCTATTCAACCCAAATGCTTCACTACTGAAATTGAGGTTGGGATGGCATCTCCAGGAACTTAGAAAGGAACGAGACACACAGGCAGCTCGGGCAGCAGCTCGCATTGGCATCAAGGAATGTATAAGACGCCAGATGTCCTGCTTGCACAAGCATATGGGAGAGAAGTTAAACATTGTACTAATTGTGAAGACAAATGGTTGAATTAGATGGAAGAAAGAAAGGATAACTTATGGAGTAACACCTTAACCGGTCCAATGCTACCTGCCTGATTATGTACTATTGTACTATGAATTGTATAGTTGAATTCTTCTAGGCAAATATGGTCTTTACCCAAATGAGGTGTTAAGTGCTCAGCACATATTTGTTTCTTTGCATTTGTGCCAGAAAGAATGGATGGAATGATGTTTAATTGTCTAATAGCATGTTGCTATTCAATGGCAGCAAAACAAAGAAGATTCCAATGCAGCAGGGCTGTAGGAGGTTACAGCATCAAAGTGCTCCGTTCATAAACTTTAATAGCGTTGGTGGACCAATTTGTGCAATTGAAGCAGTAATCGTCATAATTTACTTGCACTACACTACTACTAGTAAGATGTTTCATCATCAACATTTTATTTATGGTGTACCTCTGGAAGGTCTGGTATCTCTATGTCAGCAGCGCCCTGAGAATCGCCATCTTGTTGGCAGGGTGAACACTTTCTTTTAGCCCGTAAGGCAATCAATCCATCTGCAGCACAAGATGCATGGTTTACATCAGTGTTTTAAAAAAGCTTTACAAGGCCGTGTACAAGGAACGGATGCGCCAACCTTATACTACTCAAGTCATATAAGTGGCCGATTATACCATATAAGCATCTGATTATGCCACATTAGCGATTTTGAAAACATTGGTTTACATACATTTGAGTAATAAAACAGAAAACTCAAGCAAGCACACCATCGCACACATGGCAATCCGTTATCTTTGTTTTCTTCTGTTGTCCCCTTTTGTGCAACAATACTAACAGTTTTGTAAAAGAAACCAACTTGTTATCAACTTAAGGGGAAAACCTGAAGTTCAGCATGTATATAGTTTTTTTTTTCATATTTTACATAGCATAATAAATAGTATGGTCTCTACCCATGTACGTCGGGTCAATCTAGTTAAATAGCAAAAGGAACAAGAAGGTGGAGGCCACCAGCCATTGTGATCATAGATAAACCACCTCTTTTGATCTCCTACCTTGCACTCAATAAAAACATGTCTTTTTATGATGCTCAAGTTTTTAATAAGATGGTATATCTGATACTCTGAGGTATGAAAATTTGTACTATTCTATCTGTCCCAAAATATAAAAACGTATTAATCTGGAAAAAAAAATGTGTCTCATCCATTACTAATTTTTTATATTTTTGGGATGAAGGTAGTTAAAAAAAAATTGGTACCACTTAACAACAGTAAAATCTTTTGTTTTTTGGTTCTGTTTGTTTGTGTACATACTATAGATATATACAGATTCAAATAATCGAAAAAATAAGGAAGGAGATGGTGTTCTTTTACCATGGGGAACTTGGACTTGGCGGCGGCGGCGCTTGACGGACATGAGGCGCATCAGATTCAGCATCCCCATGGAGATGGTGGTGGATGACTCCTATCTGTCTCAGGGGATCTCTCTCCGGCGATGGCCACTGTGGTGAGAGAATCGCACTGAAATTAGGGGGATTGGAGAGGCAAATTAAACGAGAGATTTTCCTTTTAGGAAGGAAAGAGAAGACATTGCAAGCGACGCGTCCGAGGCATCCACATCTACACCGGCAGTGGTCGTCGACGGCATGCGGTTTTCTGGACCGCCGGCGACCAAAGAGATCACACACAAAGAGCGCACCGGAGCAATGACAACATCATCACACCATATAAGCTAAGATTGGCCTAGCCTGGTCGGTTAGATCCAAGCCAGGCTACCAAAATTAGAGATCATAGATTGATCCACTTCAGACAGTTCACGTAGAGGCTGATATATATGGTTGCCATTTGCCAAGGCATTCGAATTTCAACAACACTAATGCTGCTGGGTAAGCAAACCATATCAATACAACTGCAAACGATGACACATGCATGGATATCAGGTTATCCAATGATTCAGATTGGCACTTGAGAACCAAGCATCAGATTGTCACTGGATAACCAATCACACAAACCAGTTTGTCAGGACATCCTTTGGAATGGGTTTCAGGAATCAATACAGATGACTTGCAAACCACATCAAACAAAATTTGAAAATATAATACGCACATAGCAGGGCATAACAGAGATTTGTGATCTTGTTATATCATCATTCAGGCCTATGTCATAACTCTTAACCAGTTATAAAGGAACAACAGTAATTCTCCCATAGATTCAAACATAGGAAGATGCAACAGGTCTCCTTGAGCATTCAAAACTATGGTCACCTCCAAAAACAAGTCACAAGAAAGATGTTGACCTAAGCTTTTTTCTTAGATGATTTCTTGAAAGGTTTCTTCTGGGGCTTGAGCTTATCAGATCTCGAGGACATCTCTCTGTCTTTCCTTCTTCGCTTTTCCTTCTTCACCTTGTACATTGTGTTTGCCTGCTTACAAAAATGTTTACAGATGCGGTTAGTTCATTCAAACAGAACAAGCAGTGCCAATGATGGTGGGCAAAACACAATTTAATATACTCCATTGAATCCTGGAACTTGCCTTGCAAACATCAAGCTGTTCAGAGTTTCTGGCAAGTAGAGACATCAGAATTTTGTCATTCTGCTGTTTCCCCAGGTTGCCCATTCCCTCCCCTTCAGCAACTGGGATAAACTGCAGAAACAACATGATTCAGCTATAGTTCACAAATTCAGCCTACAAAGGCAGACTCATAAATCAAAGCCATTAAGATATAAAAACCTTTTTATGTTTGCCAGGATGCTTTGGAGGTTTCTCGCCAGGCAACTTCTCATCAAACTTCCCACCACTTGCTGTTGCAGATCCCATGCCAGCAACATTCTCAAGATCCTCTTTTCTAGATTTTTTCGGAAGATCAGCTTTAGTTCCTGTGATGGGCAAGGACGTTGCAGCAAGTTGTATATGACTGCACACAAAATATATTGGAGAGCTGTTAGATGACTATACTGCATAATTCTCAATGTTCCTTACTGGTACGAAAAGGAATTCATAGGAGGGAGGGGTAAGCAGTAGGTGAGTAAAGGATTACAACCTTGGCAAAGCACCAACTTTTGCAGCTTTCTTTAAGTTCTCTAGTCTGTTTTTTCCTTGCTTTTCTACCCGCTTCTTCTTTTGCTTCCTTTGTGCGAAAGGATCAACTCCAGGCTCTGTAACAAATGAAATTGTCGATTAAAAGGGTATATCAGGTTGACCAACCAGGTTTAGGATACATGCACATCTAGAAAAAGAATCATTAATAGTAAGAAAATGTTTGTCAGATTTAGGTCCTAAACTATGAAATGACTGCATATAAAAAAATAAATGGGGGTAAAGCACTGCATATGAAAAATGCTGGAAAATTTGCTGGACGGAGTCGACTAACAAAAGCAGATGAATATGAGAGCTGCAATACTGTATCAGGGAGAGAGACCAGTCAGCACAACAGTCAACAGGATTGTTGGCAAAAGGTTCATGAAGACAAATTACTAACCATCAGTGGATTTAGCTTCAACAATCGGAACCGATATGGGGATTGTGAGACGAAGGAGCTTGACTTTCCGTCCCAAAATATAACTGTATTGAAGCTGGCCAGTATCATCAAAAGCTAACTTATCATCATCATCAGATTCAGCATCTTCAGGACGGCACCAGCGTGGCTTGGGCACAGACCACCTGTTCATTTCAACGAAATAACTTATATATCCAAAACTTAACTTCAACCTAATAAATAGCAACATGGATCGGAATACCAACCTGTTAACCTTATTTTTGACATCTCTTGGCATTTTCCAGAAACACGCACCAGAGGCATTGCCAATATCACCACTAGATTCACTGTCAGATTATGCTTCAGCAAGCTTCTTAAAATGCTCCAAAAAAGAACAATGCTAGAATACTGACATGAACAATGCTAATACCTTTTTGTCTCAAACGATGCTAGAATCTTGCAGATCTCTTCCCATAATAAGAAAGGAGTTCCAATTCTTGTGTCATAGAAGTTCATGCCAATAACATTGCCATCAAGATTAACAAGAGGGCTTCCAATCCCAGCCTAGCAAGTTAACATAAATAAGTTGTGATTTACTGTTTTCTATTGAAAACATTGCTAGCTAATTCATTCCAATGCAACTATATACTTTGTCAGAAACACAAAGCAGAGTCTGTCCAATGTCAAGCTTTCACAATTGTAATATTATCTAGGTTTCATCAAAAGATACCGTTCGATTCATATTCCAAAGTACTTTACCATGACCATATTTTAACTGTAAGCAAATTAATGACAGGAATTTACAGTCAAAGCTCTCTTTTAGACAGTCAAATTACACCTAATAGAAAAAAGAGAGTTATTACCTTAGTAATTTTACATGTGGAACATGCGAGGAACTGGCAGTCAAGTGTGCCTGTCCAAGGAACTAGACGACCACTAGTAGCCATTAACGTGCCAGAATTGAAGCAACGCCCTACAGCCACTACTCTAGAAGACTTGCAATCAAAGCTCGTATTTAATGGACGAAGAGCACGGTACTTGACACTGACTAGAGCAATGTTGTAATGTAGATTGCAATGCTCTAACTTCCCTTCTTTGCATTGGTTGTTAAGAAACACTTTAATCTGCAAATAATACAGTGATCAGATTTAAACAGCACCTTAGAAGAACATCAGACACAAAACAATGAACACCAACCCTCAAGTTTTCATCAATCTTGTTCTCATCACCAGAATCTCTAACCAAGCTCGCTGATGTCAAAATCATCTTAGATCCACTCCATTCAATAAAAAAACCTGTGCATGCAAAAAACCTTTTTTCTCCTGCATGCCATGATTCTGGTTACCAGCTAGTTGTAATCGAAACAGAGATGAAATAGTAAATGTCACACCGTTGTAAACTCACCATTGAATGAAGCCAGTGCGACAACATTGCGATTTAGGATAGAAGCTCTTCTGCTGAATTTTCTCCAGACACCTTCACCATATATGTCGCCAAAAGGGTCTTCAAAAGAATTAACCAAGATCATGCCAGCTGGATAAATACATTGTAGAATAAGTTGTTAGTGGTACATGAGAGCTGTAAAAGATCAGCAAATTTTAGAAGCACTGACTCACCTCCTAACATGGAGGATGGTAACTTAGGATAACCCATGGAGTCAAGATCTAACTGTTCCTGGTTGAGAAAATCTCCATGTACTGGTGCAACAAGGTGAAGTGATCAGCACTGACATATACTAATACTATACACAAAAAGTAAATTCACATAAACTCTGCGCATACATAGCATGTAACATGAGTTATATCATTATAACAGCCTGAGCAACAATTAGCATTAGAAGTCAGCGTGCATGAACATACCTATTGTACATATGTTAACTAATAAGATCCAACAATACAAGAGTACTACTGAAAGGGCCGGAATAATTGATGTACAAATGTAAACGCTTGCACAGCTTCTAAATAGGTACCATTACGAACTCAATAATTTGCATAACAATATGATGTTAAGCACTTGTGAGGAGTGCCTGTGTGCTCACCTTCTGGATGGCTGTTAGATTTCTCACCTATGGATGCTTCAGGCCTGCAGATCATAAAAAATGACTAGTTGACTACTAATCAAAAAGTAAAATGGATCAAACCAGTGCACTTATACGAAAAATGGTGCCAAACACTATGTGGGTAGAATCATAGGCAAGGAACAAGACAGAGAAGCGAGGATTAAATAGACATACCTGTGAACCTTCATTTTTTTTTATTGTACAAGGCCAGTCTTCTTTTGCACGAATGTCAAGTAATGATTGAGAGTTGTGCCCCATGGTAGAAAAATGGCTCTTCTATTGGTAAAAAAAAGGTTCATGCCAACCATATCCCCATCAACAGAAAGAAGCGGCCCACCTTCCCAAGGCTAAGAAATAAAACAAGCAACACGGGTTACATTTGAACAAAATAAAGTTGTACAGAACAAGAGTTAAATACAAACAAGAAATCAAATATTTCTGTTGCCTCCATGCCTAACAGAAATAAAAATGAAATGCTCATATCATCATGCAAGTGTACCTTTGAGATTTTACAATGAAGATCTCTATCATCCTCGGATACCTTTGAATCGCCATTCAACTCCACAGTCTCGACCATTATTTCGCCGGAGGTGTCATGCCCTACAGCTAATACCTCACCATGGGGCAGACTTTCAAGTGCACTTTGGAAAGGTCCAACCTGAACATCACGGACACTATAGACTTCGACAACAGAAAAGTCATTATCCAAATCATATTCAGCCATATACCCATCATACAGTCTGGTGCCGTCAAGGCGCACTTGAATCTAAAAAATGAAAAAGCGAGAAATGAGCACACAATGATCAGAAGTAAACAGATTAGTAAAGGATGACTGTCAGCACCAACCTTTAAGTCATCATGGTGTTTGGTCGTAGCATTAAGAGCTCTAACCAGAGTTGCAGTAGTCAAAAACTTTGTAAAAAACTGGTGTTCTATAGCTATGCCTGAGCATGAAAATAAGATTTTGTCTCCTACAGAAGATCGCAAGTTGAATCATTTATAACTGGTGGCATTTCAATATATACTTGTTAGAAAACTGAGAAGACTAAGCGTATATAATCACCATTGAACAAAATAATAGAAGCGACACTTTTAGACAAATATGATTTAAGCCCATCACTGAGACCAGTCCAAACATCTTGCTTAGAGTTCCGAAGGAGGTCACCTAGTTGAAGAAAATAAAACATAAAGCAGCTGTGAATAATCACATAAACTGTGAAAACGCCAGGGGTGTAGCAGAAAAGAGGAAAAGATCTAGCAGACCTGAGATCCACTCATTCTTGAAGGCTCTACTATTCTTATGAAAGCTTCTAGGGAGATCACCACCGCCCCTCTTAGCTTTCCACATATTTTTCAAGACTGAAGCAGAACTTTCTTTTAGAAATAAAAACAAAGGGGCAAAATGTGGGGTCATAAGCAGTGAAGCGACAATATAAAACTATAACCGAGCAACTAATCAGGAATGCGAAGTATGTAAATTATGTCAGGGTTGCTGATCCTTCCTTGGTTGCCTGAAACACCAAGAAGGTAGCCAAAAAGCATAATTTCTTGGCAGTCGCAGAGCTTGCATCTAAATTGTGCATGGCCAACAAGTAGATATATTGATTGTTCGTAAATATTAGCTAGTTGTTATTGTACATGTCTTACGGAGTTTGCAAAAACCATGCGTGACATGAAGTTCTGCCACTGTTAGTTCAACTATCAGCTATAGCATGGAGTGCTGACGTGACAAGGACAGTGCAACGTCACACCTGATGTACAAGCCTATTCCTTAGGTTGTGTCCAACTGTATTTCGAGTGCCAAGTATGTTCCCCAAACATACATTTATGGTATCATCTTGGAGCAAAGGCTGTTCCCACAAACACAACAGAAAGAAAAGAGCTCACTTAAGCCTCCGTATTTTTTTCGGGGTGCAGGTTAAGGTAGTCACTAATCAAACCTAGCTTCACCTTCCAATTGGAAGGTACTTCCTCGGTTTCATATTATAAGACTTTCTAGCATTATCCACATTCATATATATGTTAATGAATCTAGACATATATATGTGTTTAAATTCATTAACGTCTGTATGAATGTGGGCAATGCTAGAAAGTCTTATAATATGAAACGGAGGGAGTATGTAACATGTTCTCTTCTACCACTTAGTGAAGACCGGGCATACAAAAAGCACCAAAGAAGCAGTCAAGCTCTTCATAATTAAAAAAAGGAACATTATGGAACTAATCTGAAACTGCACAATATTCCATGTAAGATAAGTTGGTGATATTTTTTTTCAGAATTCCATGTGCTGCTGTTACTCTGGTACTAGATTCATTAAGGGGGTTTCTAAAGAAACACTGTATGCTTGAAGATATTGATCTTTTGAATTATATATATATATATAACAGCAATATTGTACCACCCAATCAAGCGATCTCGTTGAAAGAAGTCGACCCGCTGAAGTAAAGTTCCAATAAGATGACGCATGTAATCGGACCAAGAAAAAACCAGGAATACTAATTAGCGGGCACGCGCTAGCAAAAGAAGTCACGCGCGTTTTCCGACCGCGTCACGACAACTAGGGTTAGGGTTAGGGTTGCCGGGTGGGGTGGGGGAAGGTGGCGCTGGGAGGGCGGGCGGTGGGCCGGTGATGGTGGCGGGGGCAAAGCGAGGCAAAGGGGAGGGGGAGGAGGCCGGCGGGGTGGGGCCGCGCCGGCACGTTGACGCCTTTCGGCGCCGGCACGGTGGCGGTGGAGAAAAGAGCTAACCTGTTACCGAGGGAGGAGGAGCGTGCTCGCCGGAGCCCGCACCGGAGGGTAGCCGCTCCGCTGCCTCGGACGGACTGGAACAACGATGGCGATGGGAAGAGATTAAAAAAAAAAAAAAACACCAGTACCGCAAGAATCTTTACAAGGCATGCCACGAGAGGGACTCCGGGAAGGGATGGGGGAGGGTGATGCAGGGCAGGAATCCTACCATGCTATGAGCAAATCACGGCCACCGGATCAGTACTGGATGGACGGACAGGATCTGTGCAGGAAGCCCGCGTGGAAATCGGCTACGCGGGCCAAATCGCCCCCCATCGATTTTGAAGCCCACGAGACAGGTACGGCTTACCAAAGAAATAGCCCATACACGTGCTTATTTGCGGCCGCGTCCCTCCGTACTATTGATTTTTTTTTACACATGTTTGACCTATTAAAAAAAATTTATGTTAATTATTTTTCTATCATTTGATTCATTGTTAAATATACTTTTATGCATTCGTAGAGTTTTACATATTTCAAAAAAGCTTTTGAATAGACGAACGGTTAAACGTGTGTCAAAAAATTAACGGTGTCAAATATTTAGGGACGGAGAGATTATGCATGAGGGAGAGAAGATTGGCAAGTGGGACCAACGTGTCAGTCTAGCAAGAATATTTTACATTGCGTGTTAAACATGTGATCTTTGGTGCAGAAGAGGAGGACCGGATTATAATCGCCGCTCATGCTATCCATGGGAACAAGCGGGCATGTATTGCAAAGCTTTTGGATGGGAGAACCGACAATGCTATAAAGAACCACTTGGAATTCTACTCTGAGGCGTCGATCCTTCAACGATGGTCGATGCAAACATGGTGATTCTGTGGAGAGAAGAAGTGTCGACGTTTGATAGTCACAACTAGGATATTTAGATTGTATGGGTATCGTCGGTACCAGGGTTATCGAAGTGTAAACCTCTCTAGCGGGAGGACGTGAGACCCCCCCCCCCCCTTTGTGAGTTCGGCTAGGGGATAGGGCGCGATGATCAAGAGTGTGTCATCGCCGTGGACTCGGCTAGCGAGGTGGATGGTGAACGGGGAGTGAGACCAGAGATTATCTAGGTTCGGGCCGCTTGGAAGCGTAATACCCTACTCCTGTGTGTGGGTTTATGTTTAGGTTGTTACAAGGGATCTTGAATCCGGGAGTGCAATCTGCAAGCGTTCCCCCAGAGTTCAAGATCTTCCGAATCCCCCTTACTCGGTAGGCAAGGTCCTCCTTTTATAGTTTAAGGGGTTACCACATGCACCGCCTCTACACATCTTGTCATTGGAGGGGGGCCCACATCAACTCTGGTCGAGCCGCCACCCATGCCTTAGATCGGAAGTAAGGTGGCCACCCGTCCTCAGGTGATCCCCAGCGCAGTCTTTTGTCTGACACGGGGGGACATCCCCTGTCATTCCCTCATAAATTCTTAGAGACTTTGTGGGTTCATGCATAGGGGATGCACCGGTCGGACATCGGTCTCCGGGCGTCGATGAGACGGGGCATACCTGCCCCCACGCCACCTGACACAGGGTGGGGCATGGGTTAGGGTTGTCAAAAAAGCTTGAGGCTCGCGAACTACTCGAGCTCGGCTCGTCCTAGGCTCGATTCGAGTTCGGCTCGAGCTCCAGACGAGCCGAGCCCGAGCCTATCCCTAAGCTCGCGAGCTTTGTCGAGCCGAGCTCGAGCTTCTAACGAGTCTAGTAATATATGATTTTTGTTGTTATTTAATAAATTAGGAGATCAAATATGTTATTTGTATGTCTTATATTGACATCATATATTTATTTTGTTCTTTTTTCCTCTTCTATTAATACGATGAACTAGAAATTAATTATAAGATTATCTTTGAAATATATATTGTGTTACTTAAAAATCAAGCTCGAGCTGGATCGAGCTTGAGCCGAGCCTGTCAAAAAGCTCGAACATTTTATAGGCTCGGCTCGAGCTTATATCGAGCTCGAGCCTAGGCAGACGAGCTCGCTCGAGCTCGGCTCGTTGATAGCCCTAGCATGGGTGCGCTGCCACCCGTCTCATCCGCCTGCGACTAGTCTCAGCCTGGTCAAGGGCGATTGACGCACATCAATCAATCGAACGTCGCACGACTAGCCATGCCACATTAAATGCGGCGGTGGTGGTTGGGGCGTCGCCCATCAATGCGCCTGGCAGCGCCTCTTTCTCTGCCCACTCAGCAGCAACGTGGCAGCCGAGTGAGGGCCTCGGGGCGACGCAGCCCCTCAGGCCCGAGGGGCGCGACAGGATACCCCGAGGCCCCTATGCAGCTATGGGCGCCTCTTGGCTGCTCATTACCCGTGCGCCCGACCCCCCCCCCCCCCCCCCCGATGGGGGGGACAAGCTACGCGGCCACGTGGCTAGAGGAAAGGACCCTTCTCTCTTAGTGTGGGTACCCCCGGGCCCATATTACCGACAAGGGTATATGCAAGATTGAGGTAAAAGATATGAAGACAAGGACTTTTATATAGGTTCAGGCCCCTTATCTGACAGGCAATAACCCTACATCCTGTTTATATGGAATTGATATAGAAAATCACAGAATACAACAATTGAGACGATTGGGATAACCTATCTAGCCATCGTCGACTTGGCGGCATGAACACTAACTCGTACTCGACGACGAGGTAGCCTTTCTCCTCGAATATGAACTCGATGAGATCAGAGATAGCACTAGATCTCTCTTGCCGGCCTCCGTAGGTACCGGATTGGGTTTGTCTAGGCTAATCTCTGATGTAGATACATGGCATTAGGATAAAAACAAAAATAAAACAAATATGTGGGACCCATATGTCATTCATAAAAAAAGTATTGTGGGACCCACATGTCATCCTCCCTCTCCCTTCTTCCTCCCCCTCTCTCCCTTATCTCTCTCTCTCAGGAACGGTGGCGGTGGCGGTGGGGACGAGGCGGAGGGGAACGGTGGCGGCGGTGGCGGTTGGGGAGCGGCAGCGACGGCGGTCGGGAGCAGCGGTTGTGGCCTCGTAAGGACGCCCGATGGCACGACAAAGTTGCTGATCTGGAGCACAGAGATGTTGTACGGCACCACGACGACCACCCTCTTGATTGTGGCGTTCACCAGCGCGCTGCGCGTGAAGGAGGAGCTCGCCGGCGACGAGCTCCATCTGTCTGTGGTCATCGTTCCGGCTATCCCGGCGCTAGGCTCAGGTTGCGCGCGCTCCTCGGTCATACATGTGATTTCCACTGATGCACGAGAGAGGAGGCGATTTGGTCGGATGGCGATTTCATCGGCGCGGCTGCCGGTGGAGTGGATTCCTTCGTCGGAGAGATCCCCGAGCCTCGTATCTTCCACTGCTCTATCCTCTTCCGCCTTCGCCTTTGCTGCTGCTCTTCATGTGCTGCCACCACCTCTTCGTCCTTCCCTAGCCGTCATTGCCATTGGCCGCACCACCATCTATGAGGACGCTGGCCGGCGTCGTACTCTTCATCTCCACCATGCTGCCGCTCCCTCTCCTCACCTCACCCCTTCCCTTCTCTAGATCGACAGAGCCAAGCAGCCAACAGGGACAGTAATGGCGGTGGCGGTGGTTGAAGGTGTTGGTAGGAAGGTGGCAGTGGCGGGGGATGGGGACGAGGTGGTGGCGAGAGGTACCGTTGCCGCCACCATCACCTGTCGCCACCATTCGTTCATGCCTTTATGTGTCGGTTAGGCAAGGAATAGCCCATGGGGATGGGGGTAGAGAGATGCCTTTAGATTTCTATAGCTTTTCTAGTGTAGAAGCTTTTGCATGCTCCTATAGCCCTATCCACTTAGGCTTTCACCGATTCCTATGCTGGTCACGATTCAGTACATCCAAATAAATACCAAGCAAACCAATAGCACGGGCAATCAAACAATAAATCAAGCCACTTGCAATCAACGTACTACTGCACACAAGGGCTGGCAATCACAAAATAACAGAGCCAAGCCGCCGGATTTTGTTTAAAATTTGGGTAAAAGATAAAATAAATTTTAAAATTGAATTTTTAATACGAATTCCATAAAAAGGTCATTAAAATTCAAAATAATAATAAAAGTTGAACAACCTAGCAAAGCACATTCTATAAATATACAAAAGTAAGAGTAATTGAAACTCAGAAAAAAAATATTTCTGAAATTGCTTTTCAACACTAATTCCAAATAAACTTTAAAAGATCATGAAAATTCTGAATAAAGTAGGAAAATAATTTTGAAATTACTAAAATTTGCGATTAAAATAAGAAATATCAAAGAACAGTCCATATAGTACACAACACAGGATTAACTAACTTTTGAAATAAAAATAAAATAAGTTCAAAACTGGATTTACATATGAATTCCAGATAAAGATGAAATCATTAAAATTACAATCACAAATATAATAAAAACTTATAACATAATCGCGGCGAATAAATTTCGATTTCGCTAGGCATTGATGACAAAACGGAAGCGAGACTACGTGGGCTAATGAGTGGATAGGCGACAAAAGAGCAGGGAGATGGTGGTTGCCAATGAAGAGCGAGCCAAGAGGCAATAAATTAGTAAAGTGGAAGTGACGGCTTCTAAAAATAAACCCTAATGATAATGATGTTCGATTTTACAAAGTATCGATGATAACAAAGATGAAAGATGACAGAATAGGCATACAAGTGAGTGTGCGGCAAAATAAGCAACGAGATGGCGGTTGCCATGGAGAGCAAGCTGAGAGGGTGGTAAATGAAGAGGGTGGCGTCGGCGGTGACTTCTACAAACTATAAAAACAGAACCTCAGCGTGATTTGTAAGGTGCTTAATGTAGAGAGGTGCGGAGGGGCGTAAAGGAGTATGGAGGCATCACTTGCCAAGGGGAGCAATTTGAGAAGCTGCGGAGGAGTAAGTTGGTGGTGACAGCTTCTAATTAAAAACTATAAAAAATGGTGAGGTTCAATTTTGTATTGTGCCTGATTAAGAAAAGTAGTGGCAAAGAGTCGATTGGAGGGACAACAACGGAGTAGCGAAGTGGCAGCGGGTGCTAAAAGACAATATGAAGAGCAACAAGCAATAGAAATGAAAAGAAGGGACATAATGTAGACGAGCAGAGGGATGGTAGCAGAGAAACATTTGTTTATAAATCATAGATTTAATGGTGTAGTATAGGGAGTTTATCGGAGATACATGATAATATTTTGAAGTCAAAGAGGGAAAATTGGTATGGTCTAAAAACTATAAAAATGAAGGAACATTTTTTTTATAAAAATATAATTTAATGGCGCGTGATAGGGAGTACATCGGAGATGCTCAATCATATTTTGAACTTGAAGCAGGAAAATTGTTATTGTCACTTTATTAATTAGTTCCCTTAGAGAGTATATGGTTAAAGCAATATAATATCTCTCTCATATAGATATGCCTATATATGTGCAATTCTTTAAATAAAGAAAGCTTTTATTAATCTCAGACAATTACATCAAATTGATACAACCATACTAAGAATACTCCTGGCTGCTACATAACTACGATGTACACAGCTAAAACACACACACGTACGCAAAAGAGTTTGTAACAAAGTGAAGAAAGCTATAAAATAATGCTCCCGTCCTCTGCATAACTAGGATGCACACAGCCAAAACACACTCGCGCGCACAAAAGAGTTTGTAACAAAGTGAAGAAAGCTATAAAATCTAGCAGATCAATTATTCTGTTTCTTAAAAAAGATTTCAAGTTAAACAAATATAGATAATTCTACATCGTAATATAATTTTATTTCAATGCTAGCCGTGCAATTGCGCGGGCCACCCTGTAAAAGTTGTAAAATCTAGCGGGTCGATTATTCTGTTTCTTAAAAAAGATTTCAAATTGAATAAATGTAGATAATTCTATATCGTAATATAACTTTAGTTCAGTACTAGCCGCGTAATTATACGGATCACCGTGCTAGTTTATGTGGAGAGCCTACGTGATCACGTAACTAGTAGAATTGATAGAGCAAATTGACTAGTATAGTACTCCACTCTTTTTCCTTGTTTTTTCTTTTGGTCTAGAGACTTCATGTTAGCAGGAAGCAGCAACAGGTGACACCTAAGCTAGTTTCCTCAAGAAATTTCAAGCCGACAGGTGGAGCTATCAGAATACGTCGAGGACACTCTATAAACAGTTAAACTCCACACCAGAAGAAACTAGCTATTACTTTCTCCGTTTCATAATATAAGTCATTTTAGTATTTCTCACATTCATAGTGATGTTAATAAATCTAAATAGATATATATGTCTAGATTCATTAACATCAATATGAATATGGAAAATGCTAGAATGACTTATATTTTGAAACGGAGGAAGTAGCAGGTAAGGTTTTTTTTGCAAGTAGTCATGCGGGCATCGATGGTATCGGGTAATTCATACTTTTTCCTTTCCTATAAACTTAATCAAACATAATAAACATAATAAAGTTTAAGTAAAAGAAAAATCAAACGATTTATAATATGAAATAGAAAGAGTAGGGTATAACGTGGGGCCACTAAAAAATTACTCACCAATCCTCAACTACCGTGTCTTCTTCCTACGAGAAAAGAATTAGTTACTACTGCCGGCAACCATATGACCGAGTATTAGTTATTCATCCCTCTCATAATACTGTTGCTACGTAACAACGAAAAATTTAGTACTAACTAGTAGCATTTTTCTTTCAGTACATTATAGTGGATGATCAGTTAAATAGACTTATTCTACCTAACCAGATCTCCCATCCTGATAAAGAAGATGGGATTTGGGTAGAAAAGGAACCAACCAAAATATTCAGTTAAATCGAATCCCCAAATCCTGTGTGGGTGTGTTTGGATAATGGGAAATGAGGGATGGGATTATGATTGAGAAATAAATGAAAGATTAAGATTAAATGAGAGAGGAAGAATGAATGATTAGAATTTAAAGATGTCTTTTGGTGGGTTGGAGATCATTTTCATATCCCATTAGCCAAACAGGACATGGCATATGGGTCAGTGGGTGGCACCACAGTTTCAGGCTCTCAAACCCGTTGGTCCCGTAAAAGCGTACTCCAGTGCTACCATCTGAATGAGTGGAGTGTGAAGCGGGCGCAGGTTGGCCACCAACTTCCAAAAGAAGTAAAGGTCGAGTTTAGATTCAAAAATTTTTCTTCAAACTTTTACTTTTTCTATCACATCAAAACTTTCTTAAACATAAACTTTTAACTTTTTCATCACATCGTTCCAATTTCAACCAAACTTTAAATTTTGGTATGAATTAAACACACCCAAAACTCCGGAAGAAGAGGTCCATTGAACCTACCCGTCTCGTGGGTTTCTGCCCAAAACCGTGGCCGTGCGCCACCAGGTTCATCTCATCCACTCCTCTCCTCGTACGCCTATAAAATCATACACGGCTTCTTGCTCTCTCGGCGATGCAAGCCAACTGAACCCACTCTCAAGAACAGATACAGATTCAGACTGGTGTTTCTGCTAGACTGCTACTGCAAGTGTTGGTAGCTAGATCCTCTCTCTGCTTGTCGTTGTTGTTGTAGAAGAAGAAGCTGATGTCGACGGTGACTCGTGCCTACCTCGACCAGAAGCTCGCCCTCGCAAAACGCTGCTCCAGAGGTGAGAATTCCTGCTCCTTGTTGCGAGCTAAGTATGCTAATTAACTGTCAGTTTGATCAATGTATAGTGTATCTTGGTTCTCATACATTGGTGGTTGAAATTGTTGCAGAGGCGACGCTCGCCGGAGCCAAGGCGGCGGCGGTGGCGACGGTGGCATCCGCCGTCCCGACGGTGAGCTAATTAAACCGACAACGAAACATTCGCAGTTTCGCCTGACATTGCATCTCACCAAACTGATCTTGCGATGAACTGTGTGTTGTTTCATCGATCAGCTGGCGAGCGTGAGGATGCTGCCGTGGGCGAAGGCCAACATCAACCCGACGGGACAGGCGCTGATCATCTGCACGGCGGCCGGGATGGCATACTTCGTCGCCGCCGACAAGAAGATCCTCTCGCTGGCGAGGAGGCACTCCTTCGAGAACGCACCTGAACACCTCAAGAACACCTCCTTCCAGGGCACCGGCCACCCTCACCCTGCCTTCTTCAGGCCATGAGGAACACTGAACTTCACAGTGACTGATGGAAGCCTGGATAAACCGCTACTACTACAATATGGCTGTGCTTGCTGTGTAATGGTTCTATAAGTTGTAATGTAATTAATTAGTTTTGATGATGAAGATGATGATGATGAAATCAGTGAGAACTAGTACCTTGTTTTTTTTTTCACTCCGTTCTGAACTTCCTCTGAAATTTCCTTGCTGTCTTGTCTGCCCTTTATTCAGAACATTTTCTTGCCGGGACAAAGGGAAAAAAGTGAAAAAGATAAAAACAGCATAATGCTATGTATGAACGCTGACAACATGTGTTAGCGCATTACAAATTACTAATGACTGTATGCATGCATGATGCATCCCCTAGCTAGTTGGTGTGAACTTTGAAGGCCAAAGCTATAAAGATTTGTAAATACAGCACATACTTATGCATTATGTGCAATTGTGCACTAATGCAGAGCAAAGGTGATGTGAACCTTCAGAAAATGTAGTGCTGGTAGTAGTATCTACGTACAGAAAAACGGTATAACAATATGATACGCGTCACATCACCTCGACGGTACAGCTTATTGCCTTATCATCGCAGCTCAATACGGCCAAAAGAGAACAAATTGATTGATCATTGATGTACGAATGGAAGTTCTGTTTTCCCAAATCAAGCTGCTAACTGCTGCTGGTTTGGTTTCTCATGAGACATCTATAGCTTAATTTTAGCCAGCGTTTCATCCGTCTATGTACATCGATGCTGAGTGACAGATAGAGGAAAGAGTCAATGCATCGACTGTATAGCAGCAGCAGCCATGGATAGAGTGAAAAACAGGGAGGAGGATGGTGATCTATACCATGGGCAGCCAGTGATTGATTGATCTAATCATGTAGCTAGTTTCTTGCTACCCTTTGCTAATCCCTACTAACCGAACTGGATCGACAACTACTGTACAGTTTTCTCCTACTTATTTGTTTTCGAGGTGAAAACCGCTCCACACCGATTTATCGAAAACAGATATAAAAAACCGATGACTTTCTATCAACGACTTATGGAAACTAGCTAATGCAGATCGGTTTTCACAAATCAAGATATAGCAGTTTCACGAAAACTGATCGGTTTTGTGAACCCCGTTGGTTGTTATTAATTAAGAACACACAAAAAAAGAGGAGTTTTCAGTAAATTATCAGTAAAGCAAAGTTGGTTGTATCCTGGGCTCGTTCTTTTCTAATTAAGATACTGATTTTTAGCACGTTTTTCAAACTACTAAAAATAATATATTTTATGCGAAAATTTTCTTTACAAAAGTTGTTCTAAACTATCGAATAAATCTATTTTTTAAGTTTATAATAATTAAAACTCAATTAATTATGTACTAATAACTTTCTTGCTTTATACGACTTTACTTAATCTTAATTTTAATCTTAATTTTAATCTTAATATGTAGCAATTTAGAATGAGATTAGACCTATCCTGAAACTACAAATCTAAAATGAATCTAATATGATTCTAAAATATTATATATTGGGACGGAAATAGATAGCATCAGAAATGGGGATAGGCGATCCCTAGAGCAATGGGCTGCGGCAGGCATGCAGACAAGAGGGTGGTAGCCCGGGCCACAGAGAGCGAAGCTGGCCTGAATGACGTCGGCCAACGCCTAAGAGCAGCTAGCTATTAGCCAGCTGTAAATATATTTTTAATAAGATAAAGGATGAGAGAGAAGAGCAGCGGGCTACAGATCTGTAGCCAGCTGCAGCACGGATTCCAAGACGTAATATGTGTATGACAGGTGGGACCAGATATTAATAGTATGGTAAGCAACTATTGTATGAATTGACTATTAGATTGACAATATATGAATTGAAGATAGTAGTGGGGTATACTATTAAACTTGCTCTAAACACCCCAGCCGAAAACTGGGAGCGCCACACAGTTTTCCGCCGGCCGAAAAATGCCCAAAACTGACGGCAAAGGCACCAATCTAGCCCATGCACCGTCAGTTTCAGAAAAGAAAAAAAAAACCTACTAGCAATTGCTAATTGCCCTTCATCTCCACATGGGTTAATTGCTAAATTATTAATTAAGTGATTAACACTAGCAAGCAGAAAAATGATAGTACTCCAGTATTTATTTACAATAGTCATTTGCAAATGTTTAATTAGAGTTGAAGAAGATGCATGACTTGTGTGTCTGTTGCACATGCATTGCTGCTGCAACAGTGAGGCTCCTTAAAAAAAATAAAAATAATAAATTGAAAGATGCCGCAACACAGTGAGTACTGAGAGTAGCTAGGCTTGATTTTGTTGACATGTGTCTCTGTGGCTATTTGGTAGCAGCATCTTACCACAGGAAACGTTGAACCTGACCGCCCACATGATTAGCAATTGACCATCCAGTAAACGGAGCAGTAGATTAACTACTAATGTGGTGCTTACTCCTAATTAACTACTTTCTTTTTTTAAATAGATGTCCGCTGTTGACTTTGACTCTTAGACACACGTTTAACATTCATTTTATTAAAGAAATTTTATACAAATACATGAAATATAAATTGTGTTTAAAATACTATTAGTGATTATAAAATAACTCACCACAAAACAAATATTAATTATATATATTTTTTTAATAATACGAATGATCAAACAACATCGTCATTTATTAGAAATTGAGGTAGTAGCACTTTCCTCACCACCCCTACTACTGCATTTGCCAGGAACCTACATGCGTGCATGGATGCATATGCATGGTTAAGCCCAAGATAGCTCAAAAATTTACATCGATTTTGAAATTTCATATCTACTCTTTCGCTAGCTGGTAGTAGTAGTTATCGATCGAGATGCTATGGATTCCATCTATCAATGTTGTGTTTTGAGTAGCAGCAATAGATAGATTAATTTAACTTAGCCCCATGCACCGACCTGTAGTTGCATTAGTAAGGCCCTGTTTAGTTCATAAAATTTTTTCCCAAAAACATCACATTGAATATTTGGATACATACATGAAACATCAAATATAGATAAATGAAAAAAATTGCACAGTTATGGAGAAAATCGCAAGACGAATCTTTTGAGTTTAATTAATCCATGATTAGCCATAAGTGCTAAAGTAACCCATATGTGCTAATGAGGGGTTAATTAGGCTCAAAAGATCCATCTCGCGGTTTCCAGGCGAGTTCTGAAATTAGTTTTTTCATTCGTGTCCGAAAGGCTCTTCCGACAACAGGTCAAATTAACATCCGATATAACATTCAAAAAATTTTCTTTTTGCGGAGCCCTAAAAACCATCCCTGGACGCGTGGACGGATAGGAATACATCGAGCGAGGCATATGGAATGGAATCCATTCAGCAGATCATCGAGGCAGGCAACGGCCACACGTGCACACATGGTTTCGCCCAAAAACCACGTCCCGCCGCTTCTCCGGTGCTATCTACCTAGTTCGATCGTCCACCGATTTCATTCCGCTTCGTCTCGCCTATAAATTCGCAGGCCTAGCTACCTCCAAAACCCATCCATCACTCCATCATCTATCTGCTCACACATTCACTGCTGCTCATCGCGTGCAGAGCGGTTAACTGAAATTTGATTTGGATCATAGTTAGGGATTGAATTAGGATGGCAACGACGGTGACTCGTGCACACCTGGACCAGAGGCTTGCCCTCGCCAAGCGCTGCTCCAGGGGTACGTACGTTAATTACGTGTGTTTTACAAAAGAAAACTAGCTAGTACTACTGTAATAACATTCATGTTCTTTTTGCGTCAAATCTTCTTGCATTCCATGGCGCTAATAACTGAATATATACAAACTGATGTATGCTTCGTCGATCTGCAGAGGCGAACCTTGCAGGGGTTAAGGCGGCTGCTGTCGCGACCATCGCCTCTGCCGTTCCAACCGTCAGTAGTCTCTCTTCTTTCTCAAATGCTTCTTCTTTCTTGTGTCAATTAATTCTTTATCAGAAGAGTAGGTTTTCTAACTTAGCTGCATATGCTTGTGTGTGCTGTTTATTTCAGCTGGCGAGCGTGAGGATGGTGCCATGGGCGAAGGCCAACATCAACCCGACGGGACAGGCGCTGATCATCTGCACGGCGGCCGGGATGGCATACTTCGTCGCCGCCGACAAGAAGATCCTCTCGCTGGCCAGGAGGCACTCCTTCGAGAACGCACCTGAACACCTCAAGAACACCTCCTTCCAGGGCACCGGCCGCCCCCACCCTGCCTTCTTCAGGCCCTGATCAATAATTACAAGAACACAACATATGCTATATTATATATACTTCTAGCTACCTGGCTAGCTAGCTGCATATGATCAGAGTAGTATCTGTATCATGTAGTAGTAGTAGTAGTAGTAATACAATACAAGTACTACGCCCCTGCAGAGATCGAACCGTTTACAACAGCTAGCTGCTCATCCTGGCCTCTTGCCATTAGGCATTATCTAGCCACACCTGAATATGAATACATGCATGTACTCCTATCTTGTACTAATAACTTCATGTAACACTGCTGCAGTAATAATGTTCAGAAATCACAACACAACTAGTATTGTTATTGTACTCTTCCTGTTCAGTGTATTGTTTGCTCGTATAAACAGAAAATTCGTGCGAAATAATCAAATTACTGCAATGGACAAATGGTAAGAGATAAAATGGGTCATGTATAATTAAGGATTATAAGATTAGCATTAAGAGCACTGTGTGCCATTTTTATTTAAGTACTCTTCCTCCTAAAATATAGCAAACTAAGTATTGGATTGGACACTTTAAATTTGATAGAAATTCTTCAGATTTGTAAAATTCGATTCTAAGTTGCTGCTATATTTTAGGATAGGGAAGTAGGATATAAACAGTATATATAGAGTATATATATATATATATATATATATATATATATATATATATATATATATATATATATATAAGGTGAGAACATATCAGTAATTGTTTACTCTGTTAGATGGACCGGTCCCAAAGTCTCAAACTGAAGAAATTAACGTGATGAAAAAAAGGTGGCGGTTTAGTCTGCATTTGCTGACGGTTTTGACAGAGGAGATTTATTTATACTCTGTTGCTAAGTTGCTTGCTTCAAAAGAGCCGAACAATTGAATACTGTGCATATGTTTTTGTTTAATACTCATTCCACCAATCATGCATGAAAGCAACTGATGTGTCCTTAACTCCAACTGTGCATGCACGCACGCAAGAAGTTGCGCCCTACTTCTCGCGTATGTATACGTACGTGCAGTATATATATATAGAGGAATTCAAAGATTAATATTACGATGAACTACTAGGTAGTCCCTCCTTAAAAAAAAGAGAGTAAATTTCACAAAACTATAGGTATTTTATATTAAATTATCATAAAACTATAGATTTAAAAGCTTGTTTCACAAAACTACAGATTTAGTGTCTTCGTTTATCACAAAACTATATGTACTTTGTACAATCTATCACAAAATTATAGATTTAAGAACTTGTTTAACAAAAATATAGATTTAGTGTATAACGAATCACAATGCTACACATTTAGTGTCTTCATTTATCACAAAACTACATATTTATTGTCTAATTTTGTGAGAATGGAGACACTAAATCTGTAGTTTTGTGATAAATGAAGATATTAAACCTATAGTTTTGTGAAACAAGTTCTTACATCTGTAGTTTTGTGATATACTATTCAAAATACCTGTAGTTTTGTGATAAATGAATACATTGAATATATAGTTTTGTGATAGATTATGCAAAGTATATGTAGTTTTATGAAATTTACTAAAAAAAATTCAATATAGTACTGGATAATGAATCTGGACATCCTAATACCCTTGTATTTTTTACTGTGCAGGGGGCTGCCTATAAAAATGCTACCCCTCGCATACAGTAGAAAATAGCACTCCTAGAGGACTAAAGGGGGCTACCAGGCAGCCCTCCCAGCCCTTTTGCAGGTGGCCCCCTAGAGCCAAAAATCGCCTTTGCTATGTCCTAAAAATCGCCTACAAAATTTCAGCGCCCTCGGTGGCGGCCGTTATGACAGAGCAAACAGCCGTCTGCCACGTCGGAAAAAATGCCCTTTGGACCCTCCCAGATGACGATGGGCGACTATTTGTAAAATTTTTAAATCGAAAATTATTTCTGTAAATATTTTAATAAATAAAATTTAAAATAAAAAAAATCGGTTGTAGGCCCACTTATGGCTGGTTAGCTTGGGCTCAGCAAGCCGCGACGGAAAAGGCGCCAACGTAACCGGTTCAGTGTTCTAACGGGTCATGAGGGTGGAACTCACCTTGTAAATTGTAATTTGTAATAAAACAGTAAATGAACCTTCTCTCCCAACCTTCCTATGTCCCAAAGAAAAAAAATATAAGAGAAAAAAATAATTAGGCAGCTGATATCCATATAGCCTTGTTGTTTAAAAATTAAATTACCTAATTTTTCTTCAAGTTAATAGTTTTGTTGGTCGCTTTAACTTACATGATAGTTTGTTTGGTACTTATAAATAAACTATAAGTAAATTGAACAACGGTTGTAAAGCCAAAATAATACGCATGTATGATGTGGTGCTACATTATTTTTTCTACTAACATGTATTAACACTAGTTGAATAAAAAGTAGTTCAATTTTATTTTGTAGTTACAACATAGACATTCATAGATGTAAATTGTATATAAAAATACTGATGTATTCTTTATTTTTGCTTCTATATTTTTCAAACAAAAAAGAAAGACACACGTGTTTGAAAAATAAAATCAGTAGGACAGCAAACCATGTTGCTTTCATCATGTTTCTTAAATTTTTTTCTTAGAGATAAACTATTTATGAATGTTGGCATCTTTTTTTTTACCTAAATCTGGCTGTAATATTGATTTTCTTCCACACCTAGTAATAATTGCTATTGGGATTATTTTTGTTCCCACAACCGCTTTATTTGAGACCGCCAACACGGGTGCACCTCACGCCCCTCGTGCCGCATGTGCATACATACGTCTGCACGTGTACACGCTATACAAGACTAGCCCCGAGCATGCTTTCCTAGCCTCCTTCGTCCTTGTCGGTGATCCTCCTTTACCCTTATCTTTCTCCTCCAGCTTGCTACCTCGTCTTTCCTCCATGGTACCTCGTCTTCTCCACTTATCCACCATCAATGTTCCTGACTTCAATTTTTCGTTGCCTTGGTTTTCTAGTTGTATTTTGCCCCATCCATTAGGCCATAGAATCAAATCCATCTCCAGCGGGTGCCACCAAATATTGCGGCATCGCCATACTGATTTGTTGGACTCTAAGGTTGAGGCGATCTATATCCGGTAACATGATTACTCAATTGAAGTTCAAATCACTTGCATGATCAATTTGTTTCCCCTCTAGCTACATCTTCTTTCTTTCATTTGCCTTTGATACTACTATTAGAGGTGAGTTTTTCCTTTTGATTTTTTTTGGAGGGCAGGGTATGGCGGGGGATGCTGTTTTTTTTTTGTTTTTTTGGGGGGGGGGGGTACCCAGGAATAGCATGCAAAATTTGCAATCTCAATGTTTCTAGTTGATACTTGTAGCGTTAGTTCGTCACACATGTATTGGACTATTGGTAGCACCATATGGGACACTAGTAATTATTTTTTCCAGATTCGTCACAATTTTGCTACCAATTAATTAGGCTGGTGATGACACATATAGATATTTGTGCTTCTGCAAGCAAGTAATCTAAGTACATTTTGAGCATGTAAATCCTCCTGGCTGGTGCTATTTTCCTTTTAAACGAGTGGACAAATAACAAGTGCAGTATTGGCGCGATTAAATTGTGTGAGGTAAATTAAAAAAAAATCTCCACATTTCATTTTTGTTTATACTTACCAGTAGCACATTGTTCTCCTTACTATACATAAATATGTGAACCCCTTAATTAAGCCCACAGGACAATGTAGGTTTCTTGGCCGGCATAAATAGCTACCAGAAAAAAGCTGTTAATCCAAAATTACAAAGCCATCATTTCCAAAATCTTTATCCAAAGAATTCAGTTCCAAATATGTCTCATTAGTAATGGATATTAATCCATCCCATTCTCACACTCAAAGAGATCAACAGAAGTGTGCACACAACCAAAAGGGCAAGAAACGCCACTGCACGCAGCCAAAAGTTCAGCAAGCAAACACACCGAGTTCTTGTTGCACCCGGCGCCCGAGGACGTGGTTTGCGCCTCCGCCGCCGGCGTGATCCTGCGAAACCGGCGTGTCCGGGCTCCAGGAGCCCGCGGCTTCGTCGCGGCCGCCATGGCAAAACCGGGGGTTCGCTGTTCTTTCTTTGCCTGACGAAATGTGTCGTCAGGTGGTGCACTCCTCCTCCTCCTGCTTCTGCTGCTGTCTGAAAAGCCTATAAATTGGAGGATTTGATGGCTGCTTTACACACAAATCATCCATCCATCGATCGATCTCGCATTCATTAGCTTGAATTAGCTAGTTGGTTAGTGTGATAGTGTGTGTCGATCTGGTGTGTTTTGATCGAGATGTCGAACAAGGCTACGGATTCTTCCCAGCTCATCGAGCAGAAGTTCGCCATGGCCAAGCAGAGCTCCCATGGTGATTTCTTCTCCTGCTGCCTAGCTTAGCTAGCTATTAACACGATATCTGATTATTATTGCTAAGATTGTATGTTTGATCGTTGCATGTTAGATTCTAACAATGTGATGTTGTTTGATGTTGTATATGGATGGTTTTTGTTTTGACTTCAGAGGCGGCCATTGCCGGGCTGAAAGCAGCGGCCGTCACTGCTGTCTGCACCGCGATCCCCACCGTGAGTGCAAGCAGATTAATTAATTAATTTAATTAGCAGGATCATAATTAACTACTCTTGTGACAAAAAACACAATGTGCTCGTTCTTGTCAGAGCAATGCACATTTATCATGGATGCGAACAACATCTGAATTATTCTGAACCAATGCAACTTTTGATATGATCCCTTGCAGTTTGCCAGTGTTCGTATGTCCAAGTGGGCAAAGGCCAATCTGGGCAACCCAGTCGCCAAGACAGTCATCATCACCTACGGTAAAAATGTTTGATGCTAGCTAATTACTACAACAGATAATAGTGCTTGAAAAAGATCAGCAACTGATAATTAAGAGCTCTGGGAAATTAATTCATGGTTGATTTGGTTAATGATGCAGCTGCTGGCATGGCCTACTTCATCGCCGGGGAGAAGAAGGTGGTGGAGCTGTCCAGGAAGCACTCCCTCGAGGCTGCAAAGGCCAGGGCTAAATCTGAATATACTCTCACAAAATCGAACTAGATTTGCAGCAATATGGCATCAATGACATGCCCTTTTTATCCCAGAGAGAATACTACCAGTGTTGTCTCTTCTGTGTTCTTGCATGCATGTGTGTGTTCACTGTGTTATATGCAGTGAAAATTGTGAGATGATATGCCTAAGTGCAATTAATTAAGGTGTGGGTGCTAATAAAAGCTATGCATATGAGCAGGAGCTTCCTTCATGGATATCTTATCTCGCTCTGTTGTGGATAACTGGCTACTGATCATGATGTTAATGCTAGCAGATACTCCCTCGTCATTTCATCTTAAAATATAGCAACCTAATAATATTAGGATTCGTAGTATTAAAATATATCATATTTCATACCAGATTACTCCATTTTAAGTTAGAGGGAGTATACTGAAGCTTAGATTAAAACCGCATATTCCTTCAACTAGGATATGAAAGAAAGAGGTCAACTAATAGCATGTTTGGAGGAGCTTAAAATTCCGAGAAGCAGCTAATTGGTAGTCAACATTTAGAAAAGCTGAGTTTCCCAGCTTCTGGCTTCTAATTTATTTTCCTATAGCTTCTTAGGATTTGTAGCAAAAGATAGATTATTTGGGGGAGCTTCTGATTCTCGAAGAAGCTACAGCAGTTAGAAGCTCCCCTAAATAGAACCTAAGAAAGGTCCATATAGATATAGATAGAGAAAAAAATCGAGATATTTAACTATTTACCACTATTGCAAGTGACAGTTAAGGATATTTTAACTATTTACCACTATTGCAAGTGACAATTAAGGATATTTTATTGGACTCACATATTATAGACTGCGAGTGACAAATTCTTAGTTGCCACATCTTAAAAGTAGCAAATAGTTAAATATCCTGGGGAAATCTGCATATTGTTGTTTGTCAATTGTGATGCAGGCTTAAATTGTCATCCATGAAATATTAATCCAGGAAACCCCATGTAGAATTCTAGCCCGAATAATATTTGGCGTAGCCCAGATAGTCATATGGCCCATCAGTTGGCCCACATAAGAAACACTTGCAAAAGCTTCTAGAAAATAATTCAAATGGCTATGACAATTTTTGAAAAAAAATAGATATGGTGATAACTAATCAAGATTCCCCAAAAATTCATCTGAAAATGCAACATATAGTATGAGGAAAGAGACTAATTCTAGCAAAGAAGAAAAAACAGTGGCCTTTATTTTATGACCTCCTTCCGGTATAATCTCTCTTTTCTCGCCTCATCAACTTTTGGTACATGAAAATTGAGTGGAAAAAATTTAAAGTAAATTTCACTTTAGATCATATTTTTTTTAGATCATAATTTTTTTTACTGATGTTTCACTTTTGATCACCGTTTAACTCATGTTTTCACTTTAGACCGGTTAAACTTTCTTTGTTAGTTTGTTTCACTTTAGATTTTTTTTTGAAACTGTAAATTCGTATTTCTCCATTTTGGGGAAATTTTTTCATATTTCTTTCCAAGTGAAAACCACTGAGAACGTCGTCGGCCCAAATAGCCCAACTCGTGATCGCGCCGCCGCCGTGCTCTCCACCGGAGAGAGCGGCGGAGGAGAGCAAGTGGGGATAGGGGCCGGTCGGGGTTGCGACGGGCGGGAGCGGGAGGAGGCGCACGCTGCCTGAATGCCGGCGCCGTCGACGACCTCGCCGGTGATTGGTTCGCGCTCCGGCGATCGTCGAGGGCCGCCCGGGCAGGCGGAGGAGCGGAGGAGGCAAAGCGAGTGGCCGCGAGACCTCCGCTTCCATCGCGCGGCTCGCAGTCGCAAACCCTACCAAATTTGCTCCAGGTACCCTACCGATTTGGTCCCTCCCCCCTTACCCTTGGCCTCCTTTATCACTTTCAATCACCATGAATATTAAAAGTTGAGCTGCTAATACTTTAAGTCAGATTGTTTAACTGTAACAAGAGATCAAAAGATGAACTGATCTAGTTTGTTAACTTTTTCCCTTTTTGGGGGGAGTGTTGCTGCTTTCCAATTTAATATTGGATCGAGTAGATTATATTCATAGTGATGAAAGGGAATGGGGGATTTAGTGCTTTTGATTTGCACTTTTTTTAACTTAGAGCTTCATAGATGAAGACTAGCTTTGTCATTGTCAATTTGTCATCTCAATATAATTATCTAGTTCACATTTGTGCCCAAGCTTTAAGGTATCTTACTTCATGCTGTTTTGAATTACCAATCACCAACTAGAATACGTAGGAGACACACAAAAAAAAAAACTACAGCTATGATATTTCGGCAGCACGAGATGAAAAATCTAAATTGGCAATGACGAGTCTCAACACTGGAGCTCCCTCTGAGGGAGCAGAGAACGGAAATTCTTCAGGGGACACAGGGAACAATCTTTGCAAATCATAATTAAATTAGAATTAATACCTTCGGATCTTTTACTTTTTTATGAAAGCTGAGTATCATTCAGCTGCAATTTGGACTGAATTTCACCTTCATCAAATCAGTATCCATTCATAGGAAGGAATTATTTGATCTCCACAAGTTGGTCTTTTATTTGCTGCGTCGGATCGACATTCCATGAATCATGAACCAGCATTATTTAGTGGAAACAGTATTTGCAACTGATAATGTCTGTAATCTCTTTCCCTTTGCTCTTCCGCGTGGAATTGATTCCTCCTCAAGTCAGCAGGCCAGAAGCATCGACATAAACTTGCTCTACCATTTAAAGATGGGGGCTAAAGCATCCAAGTCACAGGGAAAAGTTGTATGATAAATGCTATGTGAGCGATCTCATTTCTACAGGAGTAGTGCTCTACTGATGTGTCTATTCAAGGTTGGAGGGAAAGGCATAGGGTCTATTGGTTGGTTGCCCCTCCAAAGATAGGCACTATGGACTTCCATCATATATTATCTAAAAAAGATAAATTGCATCATATATTATCTAAAAAAGATGAACTTCATCATATATGCAATTCTTTAGCATGCGGTGCTAAAGAATTGATATATCCGTCTCCATGGCAGTCAATCTGAAAAGTTAGGTTTTATCCAATGGTCTGCACATGCATGCCATAATCACACGACTTTAAGTTAAGTATTTAATAGGTCATCACCTATGGCCTATGGGATGTCACATAGATATGTTAGTTTTATTCAAAATAAATATGTTGGAACCCATAGAAGTATATTAATTCAAAATTAGTTTTCTTAAGAGAGACGTTGCTGATAAGTGATAACCCTACTGTTACATTACTCCATATGAAGGTATGAAAAGAAATTGCCTATCCGGAGCAAATGTGTTCATGTTATATTTCTACTTGGTTTTCACTTCTGCATGGCAGATGAACATAAATACTAACTAAAACAGGCAGTGACAATAGATGCTTTTCTTTCAAACAAAACAGTACGGATGGCTGACTAGAAGTGAACATGGAACCTCTTGAATTATTGTGGAAAGGTGTGATTTTGGAGAATATATGTAGATCAGAATAGGTTTTGTGAATGTCTATAGATCACGCACGTATGTGGAGAATTGATTCTCAAAAGGCTATATATATTTAACTCCAATAATACAATCTCTGTAGTTGTGCCCATCTGCCCTTGGCATATAACGCGAACATTTAGCCAACTTTAGTACCATCTTTGGGAGGCAACTAAGCATCTAGAATTGACAAGAGATGCAAATCGCTATTAAATTAGTAAAAGTGGAGAGATTAATTGAAGTAAAGTAGCTTTACCTATTTTCTCTATCTCCTTTTGCCCTTTATTTAATAAGCTTACAATTCCTTTTACTTAAGTAATAAGCTTACAAAGTTCTGAGCACTTGTTCTTCATTGAACTGTTGATTTGATCACCATAATCTTGTCATTAAGTACCGTCAAGTCTGTGCATATCCTATTTTGCTCCACCTAATGATTATTTTAGATTCATCTCCCTTGTGCACTACTGAACTGCTGTTGAGTGTTGACAACGATCCAACCCAATAGGTCATACATAGTTGAGTAAATTTCACATAACTGTATGTAAGATGTCATAATTTTGTAGGAAATACTATTTAATAAACAATTTCGCAGAACCACATATTTAAATTGGTTCCATATTAGTGAGCTATATTACAATATAACCTACTATCATGTACTTCCACTTCCAACGCCATTGGCACACCTGCAAGCCTCTCTCATAACTGATATCTCACCCTTCTCATATTGATTATGACTTATGAGAGACAGGCAAGTGGTTGAAGCTATCAAAAGCTGTAGCGTATGATGGCTCATCTTAAACGCGTAACTGCACATTCTTTTTTATCTGCGAAGTTCTGTGAACAAAGTTCTCTAATATGTGGTTCCCTAATAGTTATGATGACTTGCATATAGCATCATGAAATTTAGTTCACTTAGTTTCTTTATCCTAAGTGTCCATAAAGGGATGTGATTGTGAAATGAGAATGCATTTACTGATTTAAGATTTGAACATTTACAATCTGAAATAAGTTCAGTTTGTACTTACAGCCTGCATAATATGGGAGATATACTGAAAAGAAAGACTGATTTAACCAAGTGAAGTTGAGACTTGCCTTTAGCATCTTGTGTGACTCAGAACTTTATCTACATTCTGAATGAATACAGATTCGCTCACAACTTTCTGCTTAACTCTAATATTTGTCTCCTTTTTTGTTCTTCATTTTTCTTTTGTTCCTAGAATTCTGTAGGTGATGCGGCACTATGCTCAAAACTGTGTAACATTAGGGTTTCTATTAGCCACACGGAGTGTGCATTATTGCTAGTTCTGCACTTCCCCAGGTACATATTTGGGGGAGAATCAAAGTATAAAGTGATATATCCTTTGATCCATAGTTCCTTGCATCCATGTCTTATGGAAATTATTAAAGCTGTTGTCCACGAATAACTTAAAGAAAAATCTTCCTAAGCTAAAAAAGTTTCTCCTAAGAGGAATAAAAAATAACTTCTCGTTGATCTGGTCATGTCATTGTGGCAAACTGTTACTCTTCACTGTAGCGATATCTATGGAGTTTTTTTTTTCAAACAGCCAATCAGATTTGACTGGCATTATATTGATAGAAGAGGGTTCAAGTACAAACAGCCAAAGGCCAAAGAAAAATAAAAAGACTGTACATGCCTGCATGCAAACAAACTTGCACGTCAGCTCTCCTTACTCCTCATGGCAACATTCTCCCAATGTGTTTTGTGCCGGCCATACCCCACCAACCCAACTCCTCTTGGATGCAACTGATTATCTGGTGTACTGTCACCTCCTTCCCTCTAAAGATTCTTGTGTTTCTTTCCTTCCAGATTTCCTGAGCAATGAATGAGCAAGAAGACTGATTTGAGCCCTTTTTGTTTTGTTGCTTCCAAATCGCTTGTTACTTGGAGTTGGTTTTAAGTCTTGAAGCAATTTAATACATGTATGTGAATTAGATAATTGCGAATATAACAAGCAGTTCTTACTTTTAACTACTTTAGCATCTGTTGTGCATGTCTAGCACACCCCACTGGCCACTGGTATCATTCTGACTTGTCACCACTGTACATATTAATTGATATCATGTAACCTGCCTTTACATTCACAACTAGACAACTGCCCTAACTTGATATTCATGTCATGGACTCATGGTTATGAAACTAGTGACTCACCTATAATGCAAACGATATTTGGGTATTCAATTAAATATATTAATTGCTTATCAGCTAGCATTTAACTCTATATCATATATATCATGTTCAAATTATGCTACTGGAACCAACTGTTTAATTTTGGTGTAGTTTCTTATGGATATTAATGCATTTGATTTTGAAAGAATCAGTCAACGTACATATTCAGAAGTAATATTCCATGGCATAGACCTTAATTCTAACACTGTGAAATCGTCTTTTTCATCTTTTCCCTCCCAAAATTTTCTTTCATTTCATCCTCTTGTTCAATTTGGATAGCTCAGCTAGAAAGGCTAAGATCAGAACAGAGCATCTCCGCGCCTCCACAGCACACCCTGGATTCGCAATTATTGGGGGCAACTCCACTATAAAAAGCGAACCATCCACAAGAAGTAAGAACACACCAAGAAAGCAAGCTCACAACAAGGACAAGACAGGAACTGAAAGCCCTAGTACTAAGAACAGCAACCACCTCTGAAAGCTTTACAAGTTCGCAGGGTATGTGTCCCTTCATGTTCCTCGTTTGTTCTTGTGGCCCCTCTATGAACTGGGATGATTTCATTGGTTTTTGTATTCTTGAAAAAGGTCATATGCAATCATTCTGGCTGTTGATAATTACTACAAAGTTCTCAAAAGAATACTATCTGCAAGGATGAGTGTTTCTGCATGTTTTGCATGCTAGTTTGATTTAAGTGATGACCCACTGACTCCCGTTTAATTCTGTCCTAGATGGATAAAACTGAATTTCTCCTGCAAGGCCTTTCATTTTAGTTTTGTTTCCATTTTGACACTCTACCTAGAAATATTTTTAATCGTATGTATCTACCTAGTTTAGTTGAGGCAGCTTTTGTGATTTCTCTATGCATGTCATATCTAGGCGTCTAGCTAGCGTTGTTCTTTCTTTTTAGTTTGCACGTGATTACATGCATGGCTAGTGCATGTATACTAAAAGAAGCAAAAGACTTGTGCACACACGTTTATTATTCTTGGTCTTATAGATCTAGGCTAGCTGGACCATATTCACATTGGTTCCTGGATATATTCCTAAACTGCAAGGTCGTAGCATGGTCTTTTGATCAGTATACAAATATACTAATAAATGAGACAATGATTAGTTAAGACTTAAGAGTACTTAGCATATAACTTTTGTTGTGTTATGTTGTATTCATTCAATACCACAGCTTCTTGACGCTTCATACATGGCATGCAGGGCTTAACTGCGAATGAACATCCAGAGGAAGCCAGGAGACTGGAACTGCAAATCGTGCCAGCATCTCAACTTCAGCCGCCGGGACTACTGCCAGCGCTGCCATACCCCACGCCAGGACCTGCCGCTTGGCGATGGTTATGTCCCAGGTGGTGTGCTGACCTCCCTGGACATTCGCCCGGGCGACTGGTACTGCAACTGCGGCTATCACAACTTTGCTAGCCGAGCAAGCTGCTTCAAATGTGGCGCCATTGTGAAGGACCTTCCAGCAGGCCAAGGTGGTGGTGTTGCCAACGGTGACTTTGCCCGTGCCCTCGACAGCAGCGCAGTTCGTGCTGGGTGGAAGGCAGGCGACTGGATTTGCACAAGGTTAGCTAAGCTATGCTATTCATTTCAATCATCTATGTCTGCGGATGTATGGACCGAAACAATGTCATGCATGCTAGACAGAACGTTTATAAAACGACAGCATCTTTAGAAGTTAATCTTATGGAGTTGTTTTAAACATGAAAGTTTACTATCAGTGTTCTTTTTTTCACCAGGCCTGGTTGCAACGTCCACAACTTTGCAAGTAGGATTGAGTGCTATAGGTGCAATGCACCTAGGGAAGCAGGTACATGTCTTCTAAGATTTGTAGATAATGGTGCTTTGGTGTCCTTTACTATGCCTTTTTGATCAGATACATGCTCCCTGATTTAAATGTACATGCGGTACTTGATGCTAAAGAGCAAACGGCAGCTATCTGATCATTTTTCTTTCTGACTCGATCAAATTCCTTTAGACATGACCAGTCTAAAAAAAAATCTTGATAGACATTGCCTTGCAGATGGTTCCCTTTTTTTAAGCTAGGTTGGCCGAAAGACACGGCCAACCAAATCTTATTAAGGTTAGGGAATAAAAGGTTTACAAATTACAAATTCACAGACAACAGATTGCCTGGGGCACATTGTACATTAATGTGGTGAAAAATCACCACGAATGTTTTCTTTTTATCGGAGGCATATGCTCCTGATTTAAATCTACATGCAAATACCTGATGCTAAAGAGCTAACAATACTTGATTAGTTCTAGCCAAATCTATTAGCAGTCAAATTAGTTATCTGATCATTTCTTTCTTTCTTTCTGACTCTTACCTGATCAATGAAATTCCTTCCTACAAGTTCTAAAATAATTATGAGATGATCCTTCAATTAAGTTCTAACCTCTTCCGATGCTTTACGTCCTAAGAGGATTTTTTCTGCTGTATATCAGGTAATGTGAAGTAAGAAAGGACTGACGCGACCAAAGATCGTGAGACGTGACGAGCTGGCCGAGGATGAATAAAGTGACTGCTGTCAGTTGTCACATTCACAGGCTGCGATCCAGAAACTATGGATGGGACTATGTAGTAACGTGCTGATATATTATTGCTAAGTGTTACTACTGCATGGTTGCAAGGGTGGTAGAAGTACCTTAGCTTCCAAGATCGTTGTAATGTGTGAGTTTAATTTTGGCGTTTTAAGTAATAAGTCTAGTGATTGCAGGATTGTACGGGGTAATGTACTTGCATTATCCATTATAATCTTAAGCATCCAATATAATTATGCAATAATTCGTGCCTTACTGCTCTTAGCTACAGCTGGTTGGGTTTGAAGGCTTTATTTGTTATTCTTACATAGTGTATGTTACTCATGTCATTATTTAGAGTCTGCTATATACTGCTTATGCATTATTATTATCTGTTGTTGAACGTTTGCAAAGTTTTAGCGGGCATGTTTCTTTGTTAAAGAAAGGTGCACGAACTAATTCATTCAGTAAGGACTCCTTTGAAAATTAAGCAAGAAGTTTACAGTATTTGACAGAATTTAGTTCAACTTCTAAAAAAAATCCTTCAGAATTCCTCCATTGTAAATGAGCTGTATAAGATCATAGCTTGCATAAGAACAAAAATGCATATATGTATATGTCCATAGTGAGGTGTTTGTGGTGACGACGTCAATTTCAAGATATACCACTTCGGTCTTCTAGAGGTAGGATATATGTGTATTCGTAGTTGGTAAATGCACGTGTATGTACATAAGCTTCGGAGCTTATGTTGTACTAGTAGTCGCTTTAACTTTTTTTCTTGTAACGTTTGACCATTCGTCTTATTTGAAAAATTAGTGCAAATATGAAAACAGAGAAGTCATACTTAAAGTACTTTTGATAATAAAGCAAATCACAAACAAAATAAATAATAATTTCATAATTTTTTGAATAAGATGAAAAATCAAAAGTTAAAAAAAAACTCAAAGCGACGAATATCCTGGGACATAAGTAGTATTTTGAAAACAAACATAAATGTGTAGTGGTAGCTCTACAAGATAAGAGGGCACGTAGATGTAGCTAGGGACCAAAGTGGTGATCTACACTAGCCCACAGTGGGCCACTAATCGAGTGTGGAGAGAATGTATTCTCAGCTCAGGTGTTTATCTCCAAGGCTCGATGTTTTAGAAGATTCTCCTATTGTCCTATTGCCTATATTTGTCATATAAAATTGAATCTTTATATATATGTACTTCTACAGTACATATAAAGATGCTTCTACAGTATCACAACTTTATTATCATATCCTCGATGGAGATAAAAGGTTCAAAGTCAGGTCGTAGAATACATTTGTAAATGTAGATGAACTTGTTAGGTTTCTTACAGTGAAACATACCTACTCAAATTAAGTCTATACTTGATATGGATGCTCACTTTTACGGCTAATAATTTTAGGCAATATGTATATATCGATAATGAAACGCATATGGTAATTTCGTATATCAAATATGCCGACCAATATTTTGGAGGTGTTACAGGGGTAAGTATGTGCGTTTGCATGTATTTATACGGGTAAGCATGCACGCATATTAATGAATGCTTGCATTTGTAACATGTTTCGAAAAAAAAATCATGCCATAATTTTTTTTTAAAAAAATAAGTATAAAAAGAACATTTGCTTATGTACTATGTTGTTATATTTCGGCAACAACGATAATTAGACCATAGGAATGAGCCAACTAAAAGATGACCTCATACAAGTGCAACACTAAACACATGGGCCCACATGTCAGTCTGCCGCTTTGTCCTACCAATCCAAGCTTCAAGCCCTACCTACCCCTACCTTGTCGGGAAGTTGTAACTACCCACTCGCGCCGGTCATCGTCATTGTCGCCATGTCCTTCCATCTACAAGCCCACGTCTTCATGGCGAACCCTCTCCATGGCCTTTCCACTTCTACCGCCGTGGATGAAACTTTGATTGTCGTATAGGCTGAGCTCTTATCTCTACTTTCCTAACTCACCTCCATCGTTTCCGCACGCACGTTTTTCAAACCGTTAACGATACGTTTTTTGCAAAAAAAATAAAAAAAATTCTATATGATAGTTTCTTTAAAAACATATTAATCTATCTTTCAAATTTATTTTAGCTAATACTTAATTAATCATACGCTAAACGCTACTTCGTTTTGCGTGCCAGCTCCCGAACACAATAGTAAATTTTATATAAAAAGATAAAAGTAAAAAAAAAAAAAGCTGATGCGCACTACCCTGTGCTATTTCATGATGGGCTGAAACTTTTAGGCAACTACGAGAATTGGGCCGGCCCGACCAATAGATGGCCTCCTGCAACTGCAACACTGAACACGAGGGCCCACATGTCAGTGACACAACCTCCCTACGCTTTCTCCTACCAATCCAACCACCTACTACCCCCACCTTGCCGGGAAGCTGCAACTGCACACTCGCCGCCGCCGCCATGTCCATCCACCTCCGCGCCCACGCCTTCGCGGCGAGCCCTCTGCGCGGCCTCTCCGCCTCCACCGCCGCCGTCTCCCCGTCGGCCGCGGCCGACGCCCTCCGCTCCCTCCTCGACGCGGGGGCCGGGGCAGCCGACGCCGCGCACCCGCACCCGCACCCGCACCTCTCCAAGATCCTCCCCTTCCGCCGCGGCCGCCCCCTCGCGCGCTCCTACGACTCTCCTCCTCCCCCCGCTGCCGCGGCCGCGGCGCCGCCGCCTCCTCCCGCCTGGCGCCTCGCGTGGCTCCCGCCCGCGCGCGTCCCCGACGTGCCCTCGGACGCCTTCGTGTTCCTGGGCGCGCACGGCGAGGAGGAGGGGAAGGAGGCCGCGGCGTACTGGGCCGTCGATGTGAGCGAGCGCGACGGGGAGGGCGCCGGGGATGGGTCGGCGTTTGTGGATTTGAGGACGCTCATGGTGGCCACGGACTGGAGGGACAAGGACGCCATGGGAGACCTCGCCATCGCGGGCCACGTGCGTGGCGATTATTTTGTTGTTATCAGAGACATTCGAATTACTACATTTTTTGTGGTTGATTGGATTTCTGATTCGAGCAGGCTCGGGCGCTGCTAGAATGGCATAGCACAGCAAAATTCTGCGGAGCTTGTGGATCAAGGGCTGTTCCTGCTGAAGCCGGAAGACGGAAGCAGTGCAGCAATGAATCCTGCAAGAAGAGGATATACCCTCGAGTTGATCCCGTATGATTTGTGCTCAATTCCTGACCTATCTTGCAGTTGGAGATGGCACCTGTTGAATTTGACGTTTTGTTATCCCTATTTGGTGTATTGCAGGTTGTGATTATGTTGGTCATAGATAAGGAAAACGATCGTGCGCTCTTAAGCCGCCAGTCGAGATTTGTGCCTCGAATGTGGAGCTGTCTTGCTGGTTTTATAGAGGTGCAAATTAGCTCTTAGTTTTCATGATTTCTTATGTTTAATGTTCAGATCTTTTCTTCATAATAATATGTGCTTAGTTCCATTCCTTTCACTTGTAATTTTCTTATGCTGGTTTTGGTTTGGATGAAACAGAAGGATGCTATAGATAACTTGGTTGTATTACACCCATTGTTACTGCATACTGCACAATCCTGGTTAGATCTTATTTGTGAGTTGGTGGGATGGTTAGATCTTATTTGTTAGTTGGTGGGAGGACCGGAGGAGTGTATGTACACACCCACCACACAAGTTTGGATCCTCTAGGGCTAACTTGGATTCATCTTCCCCCGTGGGTATCCTCATTTTATTTATTTTTTTAAAAAAAGAGTTACCATATCCTCATTAGCCATGCTTGTAATTTGTAGGAGATTATTTAGAGCACTTCACTATCCTAACTATGATGAATTCATTCCAAATACTGAAAAGTAACTTGTTTTCTTGTTTAAGTTTTGTCCTATGCTTATGCTAACTTCAACTTTCTGTGGTACTAGCAAGTTCATTTCATTATCATCTTGCCGTGCACTGAAAGAAGCTTACACATGCTGCAACTGTTCTTTTTGTAGCCAGGAGAAAGCTTGGAAGAGGCAGTGAGAAGGGAAACGTGGGAAGAGACTGGTATTCAAGTTGGGGAAGTCATTTATCACAGTTCTCAACCGTGGCCTGGTAATGAATTGTTCTTACCATATATCTTTCGAATGAAAAACACAGGAAAGGATAACACTAGAAGATAAGAAATATGTTTTAACCTTTCTAATTATCGTATCAAAATACAGAAGTACTTATAATGAAAGATACTAGGCAAGAACTATATCAAATTAAAGTAATAAGAAGAAATAGGTAGAGGACTTGGGCGGTGGTGGTGGTGTACATGCATACCAAGAGACATGTATTAGGGCTCCCTTTGGCATTAGAGTGTATTCTCAAAACAAAATTATTTGTGCTTTGGGATATATTATGAGCTGTTATCGTCTTTTTCTTGAGTTGTAGAGAAAAGTCTTAATAGAATCAGTGACAATCTCCCTAACCCACTCTGATAGTATCCATGTTGCTTCCGATGCTTTTTTCAGTTGGGCCGAGTACTATGCCATGCCAACTGATGGTGGGATTCTTTGCTTACGCTAAATCATTGGAGATACATGTTGACAAGAAAGAGCTTGAAGGTTTGTCAGTATGAAATGTTATTTTTTTTCCTACTCTTTTTTGCAACTGATTGGCCTGGTCCATCCATATAATCCTACGTTTCAGTCGGTCTTCTGTTATTTTTCTTATGCAATCTTACAAGAATATTTAGATACTAACTGAGTAAAACTTATCTAATTGTTAAATTGGTGATCTGTAATACATCGAAGATACTTTTCTACAATGAACTTCATAATAGTTCTGCGCAGACCTTTTAGTTCTCATCTCTCGAATGCCATTCTTTTACCAATGTAGATGCCCAATGGCACAGCCGTGAGGATGTCAAGAAAGCACTAACATTTGCAGAATACGAGAAAGCTCAGAGAACAAATGCGCTCAAGGTCAATCAAATATGCAAGGGTGTTGAGAAAAGGCAGAGCATCTCTGCTGACCTCAAAATCGAAAGTGAGGAGCCTGCTCCAATGTTCGTTCCTGGGCCCTATGCGATTGCTCACCACCTCATATCATCATGGGCTTTTGAAGGAGCACCAAAGGCACCTAGCTCCTTCTCCAACCTATGAGCCTTGATCCTGTTATTCATTTTCACTAAACAACACAACAACAGGAGATAGGGAATAAAAAATTTTAGTCCCATGTATCATGTATGCCTTAGTTTCTTGTTAGTGTAGATGTGAAATGTGTCCATTGCCGGTTGTAATAAAAGGTTAAGAAAAGTACATCACGTTCACTGGAGGATTTGGGGGGAGTACAGATTACAGAGCAAGTGTAATATTTTAGCATACAATTTGTAACAGTGTATAGATGCAGCACAGATGTGCTGATGTTTGTATCTTCCATATTCAAAGAGCTGGCATCAAGTGTGAAATTTTGCCAGGTTTGTTACAAGTTGAGGACAATCTTTTACATGTTGACTGGTATAGTTCTGCTTGGAGAAAACTGGAATATTCAAGTTAATTTTCCACATGAGTACATCTGTTTGTCATGCAAGTGAATCAAGAATTCTTGTGCAGGGGTTGATTTTTCAGTGTATAGGGGTATGAAATGAATGTAGAGAGTGATGTGCCTGGACTTTTGTTGCTAATCATAATTGAAGCTTCTCCTTGAAACAAGCAACCACATGACATCTTTGACTAATCTGTTGCACAAAAACAATAATTAACCCGCATCAATCTTCAACTGGTCAACATAAAATCTACTGTTGGACAGCAACACCGCAGCACCTTGTACTAATTTTTTTTATGCTTTCATCCAACTACTGACAAAGAATTCTCGTCAGTTTTTCAAGTTCAGAACAAAGGCAGGAACTCTGATTAGGTGTAGCCTCATATACAGTACTAATATATGCTAGGAGCACTTAATTAATTGCTGTTCCTCTCTAGGTAGTACTTAATTAATTAGGAGTACTAATTTTGCACTTTGTGACACGTTTTATGTTGATTCACAGTGACTTGATTCAAGCACAAGAGAGGTGGTCACAGCAACATGTGCAAAATTGTCATTAGACGAAACGTATCAAGCTCTAATTGCAGCCGAAGAAGCAAGAAGCAAACCATCCAATCAGCTGCACAGCTAGTCAACACAAGCTAGTCAAACCGTTGACTACCACTGTCTTTGTTGCGCGCCAGATTTTTCCACGGTGCACAGCCGCAACGAGATGGAGACATGGATAGAGTAATAAGCAGCAGTAGCAATGCAACGCAATGCAACACTTGAATCACTTGCAGCTTGGAACTGATCTGATCAGCCATGGCGGTCGGCGTCGTCGCCGGCGTCGAGAGCCAGGAGCGCCGCGGCGGCGGCGCCGGAACCGGAAGGGTCACCGCGTTCGTCGTGCTGTCGTGCGTCACCGCCGGCATGGGCGGCGTCATCTTCGGCTACGACATCGGGATCGCAGGTACAGTGTAACACAATGTAGCATGAGACATCGAGAGAAGTGAAGCTTCGTTAATGGCGGCGGCGGCGGCGGTGCAGGTGGCGTGTCGTCGATGGAGCCGTTCTTGAGGAAGTTCTTCCCGGAGGTGCACCGGCGGATGGAGGGCGACGTGCGGGTCAGCAACTACTGCAAGTTCGACAGCCAGCTGCTCACGGCGTTCACCTCCTCGCTCTACGTCGCCGGGCTCCTCACCACGTTCGCCGCGTCGCGGGTCACGGCGGGGAGGGGGCGCCGCCCGTCCATGCTCCTCGGCGGCGCCGCCTTCCTCGCCGGCGCGGCCGTCGGCGGCGCGTCGGTGGACATCTACATGGTCATCCTCGGCCGCGTCCTCCTCGGCGTCGGCCTCGGCTTCGCCAACCAGGCCGTGCCGCTCTACCTGTCGGAGATGGCGCCGTCGCGGTGGCGCGGCGCGTTCAGCAACGGCTTCCAGCTCAGCGTCGGCGTCGGCGCGCTCGCCGCCAACGTGATCAACTACGGCACGGAGAAGATCAGGGGCGGGTGGGGATGGCGCGTCTCGCTGGCGCTCGCCGCCGTCCCCGCCGGGCTCCTCACCCTCGGCGCGCTCTTCCTCCCGGAGACGCCCAACAGCCTCATCCAGCAGGGCAAGGTCGAACGCTGCGACGTCGAGCAGCTGCTCAAGAAGATCCGCGGCGCCGACGACGTCGCCGACGAGCTCGACACCATCGTCGCGGCGAACAGCGCCACGGCCGGAGTCGGCGGCGGCGGCCTGCTGATGCTTCTCACCCAGCGACGGTACAGGCCGCAGCTCGCCATGGCCGTGATGATACCCTTCTTCCAGCAGGTGACCGGGATCAACGCGATCGCGTTCTACGCGCCGGTGCTCCTCCGCACCATCGGCATGGGCGAGAGCGCGTCGCTGCTGTCTGCGGTGGTGACGGGGGTCGTCGGCGTGGGCGCGACGCTCCTCTCCATGTTCGCCGTCGACCGCTTCGGCCGCCGCACGCTGTTCCTCGCCGGCGGCGCCCAGATGCTCGCATCGCAGGTGCTGATCGGCGGCATCATGGCGGCGAAGCTGGGCGACGACGGCGGCGTGAGCAGGGCGTGGGCGGCGGCGCTGATCCTCCTGATCGCGGCGTACGTCGCCGGATTCGGGTGGTCGTGGGGGCCGCTGGGCTGGCTCGTCCCCAGCGAGGTGTTCCCGCTGGAGGTGAGGTCGGCGGGGCAGAGCGTGACGGTGGCGACGAGCTTCGTGTTCACCGTGTTCGTGGCGCAGGCGTTCCTCGCCATGCTCTGCCGCATGAGGGCCGGGATCTTCTTCTTCTTCGCCGCGTGGCTCGCCGCCATGACCGCGTTCGTGTACCTCCTCCTGCCGGAGACCAAGGGGGTGCCCATCGAGGAGGTCGCCGGCGTGTGGCGGGGCCACTGGTTCTGGTCCAGGGTCGTCGGCGGCGACGGCGAGGAGGAGGAGCGCAATAATGGCGGGAAGCTTTGACTGAAACAACGCGCGCGCGCAATATCCAAAGTGCGTTGCACGAATCTTGACGCGCATCTCCCCCCCTCCGTTTCTATGCTACCTTGTTCAGAAAACAGAACACACCTACAGATTCAGAGTTTTCAGACACATCAAGGCTTAAGAACATACTCCCTCCGGTTTGAGATTAATTGATGGGTTACTCCTTCATGTTTGAGTTTAATTGATGTTTTAGCTTTCTCCACTACTCTCTCCCTTCTATTTCTCCAGAATACCCCTCATGCATGCATGCAAACAGAAAAAAGTAACGGCTGCTTGGAGTATTAATGAGGGGTATAACAGGAAATATGGATCTAATTAATACTGTCATTGATATTTGCCATGATGTCCAAAACGTCACTTAATCTCAAACCGGAGGGAGTAGTTAATGTTGTACTTCCTCCGTACGAAAATATAAAAAAAATTATATATACACATTATCAAAAGCTAGTGTTATCTACCCCTCCTCCGTCAAAAAAAAAAAATCAAACCCTAGGTTTAAAACCTAGGGTTTGATTTTTTTTTCTTTTTTTTTCCAGAGTAGTAGATATATGACCAGAAGAGATGGAGTTAGTATGCTACTACAAGATTAAGCGTTTTCAGATAAATCAAGATTCGGAGCTTTCAACACATCAAGGCCCCGTTGTTTTATGATTAAGATACATATTTTATCTCGGTTGTTTGTTGGCATGTTTTTGCTAAACCATGTGTTTGCGAAAATTTTTTATATAGAAATTATCTTAAAATATCAAATAAATATATGTTTTTAAGTTTGTAACAAATTAAAACTTAATTAATCATGTGTTAATATTTTTTTTGTGCGTGCTTATACTTAATCTTTTCTCTGTATCTATCTCGAACGGGTCCAAGATTCAGAGCTTTTTTTTTTTTTTTGAATCCGGGTGTGTTTAGTTCATACCAAAATTGGAAGTTTGGTTGAAATTGAAACGATGTGACGGAAAAAATTGGAAGTTTGTGTGTATAGAAAAGTTTTGATGTGATGGAAAAGTTGAAAGTTTAAAGAAAAACTTTAGATCTAAACTCGGCCTGTGTGGTGCGCTCTGAACTAGGAATGTTTTCTAGGTCAGAACATGTACTACCTTCAGATTCCAGGTGTAGCTTATAGAGTACCAACAGAGTGTCCCTATGCTTAATTTCAGTGTAGAAAACATGCAGTTGCTGTAACCTGTACTCTGAAACCAATCGTTTTGATTTCAGGCCTTAAAACTCATGTGCAAAAACTGTTGGAAAATCACATCAACAACAGTTATCAAGGTACATGAACAATCATGCATGAGGCACCATAAATGTACTAGCTAGTATCACACATGGCTAGATCTGACGAGATTAGTAACAAACAGTTTGCAAGGTTCAGAATAATTACTGTACGAGACATCATGATCATCTCCTCTGCCCAGCAGGTCAGCATCTACCACTAATTGGGGGCAAGATAAAAAAAAGTCAGTGTAGATGTGCAAGAACGCTTCTTTCTCCTCCTTGATCGGAATTACGGGCAGAATTATTAGAACAGGTTAAGGAGAATAGACTGAACAGGGAGCAGCAGTACAAGTGCAGTGAGGGACAGTATTTGGACCGGTTTGTGCTGCATTGTCTTAGTGTTATGGAGCCTGAATTATTGGGGCTTGTGTGATTGATACCTCTCGCACCTGTCCATGTTGCCTTGTAGATATACACACATCACTCCATGCATCTACTCTCTAGTAATTATCCATGTGCTCGTCTGGTTGGATTGGAACAAGCAACAACTAGGTATATACACTTGTCTCTGAGTGATCTTATATGAGAAAAATAATTCATACAAAATTCCCGCATTTCAAATAAAATTTATCAAATTCCTTCATAATTACCTCGCTTCAAAGGACGCAAATATAGTGATTTTATAATACTTAAAAAGTACCGTACTTTTGATTAATTTAGCATAAATTTTAATACCTCTCAAATACCGTAAAATTTCTCAGGTAAATATCACTTATTGGACAACATGTCGGCCACTCATCTAGTCATCTTAGAGTTTAGCTCACGTTGGGACGTTAACCTAATAGCAGCACTCCAGGTGTCGTGGAGCCTACAAGAACGTCGTCGTCGGTGAAGATAGACAAACCATGGTAGAAAGCAAACTTTCATGAAAAAGCGACCAAATTAGGCGTATCCAATCCAATCCTCCAAGCGAAGCAAAAACACACGTCACAAGAAGCTCACAGCAACAACTAATGGCTCCATATATATAAATTAAATCTATCCTATTTGGTGAGTGGTATTTATTATCTGAAAGAATCTGGTGAGTTTTCATATGGATGCCTACGTGGAGACATGTTGTGTGGCCAACTGGGGTCCAACCTGCCAATCATGCATTGGGCCAGCCATCAGGCTACTTGTTAGTCGATCGATCGATCGCCACGACAATTCATATATATCTTATTTACAAGGAGAGAGAGAGGAGGAATCAATCGATAATTCGAGACATATAGTGATCAATCATGCATCTTCTGGTTGTTGGAAGCTAGCAAAACTGAAGGTTCTTGTTGCTGTTGCTGTTCATCATTATCATAGCCAATAAGAAAGCAAGAATCCAAGAGGAGACAGGATCGGAGGAGGAGGAAGAAAGCGAGAAACCAATCGATCGATCGATCATGCTGATCTTGGAGGTGGGCATCTGGTTGCTGCCGTTCACGCTGCTGGTGGCGCCGGTGAGGAGGATGGTGAGGCTGGTGCAGGAGCTGCAGCGGATCATGCTCGTCGTCGCCTGCGACCGGAGCCGCCGCGGCGGCCGGCCGCCGACGTTCGGCGAGGTCTTGAGCCGCCTCGACCGCCTCGACTCCGCCACCGTCATCGTCTGAACGATGATCGATTGATCAGCATCCTGTAAGCTGTAATTAAGTTGCTTCAATTCCTCTGCCATCTTCTTCTTCAGTTCTTCTTGATGTAAATTTCTGAATCCGAATTAAGTGCGTTTTAGTTCTTCAAGAAAGGATGCTCTCTTCTGAATCTTTTGCTCTGTGATCTTCAGTTTTTGGTACATGCAAGCACTTGCATGTATCTGTAATTATGTATGTACGGTTTTTGTATATATGGGGCTGAAATTAAGTTTTATCCAGCTCCCTGCATAAGATTATTGATGAACACCAGTCTAAAAAAAAGAGTATTGATGAACAAGTATTCATAGGATGAATGAAGAAGTGTTCTCTGTTGTATAGAGAGAAAAGGTTCCTTTGTTCTTCAGTTTATGCTGATGATTCATAATTAATTTGGAGCTCATTTCTTTCTCTGAATGATTTGGAGATCCTGATTATGTGAATGGTTTCTTTCTGAATTTTCCTGAAGAGATTGCAGGATTGCTAGCATCTAGGTAGATGATTCCAGGTCAAACAATGTGTTTCTTTTGCTTTCTGTCCAACATTCTTTTTTAGGATAGTTCCAGTTTTTTGTTTCCTTCTCAACCAATAAAGCTGCTGCATAATCTTATTGAAGCTGTCAGAATCTGTAACGTCAAATTTGTATATTCACATGTATGTCAGGACTACTTAAAAAAGGCTGAAGGGGTGAGATGTACATATTAGCTAGTAAAAAAAAATCAAGTTCAGAGAACATACATCATTACCTGGGGCTTATAATTTCTTTAATTTTCTATCTGCCATTATTGTGCCCTTCTAGAAATGTAGGGCAGGTTGGTGTAGAATAAAATGCAACTGCACATGGCTACGAATTTCTCTCAGGAAAAATAATTTTCTGAGGGAGACTAGGGAACGGTAATACCGTTGGAATGGTACAGATGATACTATGTATCATGCCTGATATCTAGGTATCATACCTATACCGTTCCAACGGAATACCGTTCTCTCTATTTGATTTACTCTAATTATATATCACATCATTATGTCTTTTGGAAACTCAAAGAGCTGGTGCCACAATTTAGTGAGTCATCATAATAATATACAGCACGTATTGCTAATCATTAACTCTTCCAAGCTTATGTTGTGAGCAAAAATAATTTGTGAGACCACAGGTTTATTGATGGTCTCTATACACGTTCGCTCTCATGATTTAGAAATTTTCACGTTAATCAGGAAAAAAAATAAAAATTCTAAGCCATTGATTATAATGTGGATCTAAACTATAACGGTGTAGTTTAAACCAAAGAATCCAAGTCAAAATACAATTTAAAATATTTGAAGGTCGGAATAAAAACATAGGAATCAAAAAGAGTCCTTTTATAAATACAATATAAAGTTTGGATTAAAATAAATAATATTGAGATAATAGTCCATTTATTTAGAAATATATGAAATTCATAGTAAAAATAAATAATATTGAGAAAAGAGCCAATATAGAAATACGAATGCAATTGTACATCACAATGAAATTATCAAGAGGAATGAAAAGTATCAAAGTGAAAAAGAGGAATTATTTTCTCATTTTTCTCATTCCAATGTCCAAACGAGCCAAACTACCAAAGCAATATGCAATTCTTTAAGGAAAGTACCAATTGTGTTTCCTTCCCAGAAAAAAAAAAGACCTAACCAGCTAATCTCAAAGATGCAGACAGAATCATGTAATAACAAAATGTGTCCACCAGCAGGTTATCAGGACTAATAAAGTACTACTAATACATTCACTTTTGCTAAAACGAAAACAAGTTGAGAGCTAGAGCATGAATCATATGCACGAAACCACATATATATTTCCTTTGTCAAATTATATGTCGCATTATTGTGCTTTTTAGAAATTTGCAGAATGCAGAGTTGGTGTATGGAATCAAATGTTGCTTTCCAGTTTAGTTGGACACATAATAATAGTACATTATTGTGCCTTTTAGAAATTTGCAGAATGCATAGTTGGTGCGTGGAATGAATCAAATGCTCTACTTCCAGTTCAGTTTTTCCTTCAAAAAAAAAACTTCCAGTTCAGTTGGACACAATAATACAATCACACTGTGCATATTGCCAACGCTTAACTCTTCCGAGTTTATGTATGCCGTGAACAAAATTTGCAACTGAAACCATGATCGTCGGTGTAATGTGGCAGGAACGGCCGATAATGGTCCGGAGGGAGAAAAAATGATGAGTCAATTTTAGACAACTATAGCTATTTCGTTAAAAATATCAGTATGCTACAACTTTAGTCAAGTGTTTAAGAGAACTGCAATATTGACATATATAACTTTATCATAAGCTGCGACTTTATATTTCTAATATCCTTGGATCTACATGTCATACATACACATTAAATACTCATGATCTTACAAATCGGGTCTACCGTCTACATGTCATACACACGTAGGGAGTAAAATTGTATTTTTTATGATAAAATCGTTTGCTATTGTTACAGTTTTATAAAATTATTCCCTCCATTATAAAATAAATTCATTTTTCATACATCCCAACACATGCATACAAAACCAAAATACCTTCACTTTATCAAATCCAAATGCAATTATTTCTCTCTTTATCTATATCCAATGTATTAATTTATCCACTAATTTCAAAAACTCCTATGCAATAATTGATAAAATATAAACTTATTTCAGAACAAATGGAAGGAGCTAAAAATAATCTTATTATGGGACAAAGTGAATATCTTAAAACGTACTCCCTCCGTTTCATAATGCAAGTCATTTTAGCATTTTTCACATTCATATAGATGTTAATGAATCTATGCATATATATGTCTTGATTCATTAACATCTACATGAATGTGGGAAATGCTAAAATGACTTACATTGTGAAACGGAGGAAGTAGTAAGGTGATATTGACTAAATAATTATAGGGCTTGTTCAGATTGATGATATTTTCAACCATATCATTATTTGATAAAATTAAAAATTATGTGGCTACGTTTAATTTATTACCAAATATTGGTAATGTGTATAGAATTTTGACAACATTATTAAGTCAATCCTACCAAAATTTTAGCAATGTTGCCAATTTGCCATTGCCAAAATTTTAGTAAGGTTTATTTTGGCACCAGTAATGGAACCATAGTTTTGTGAAACAAACTTAAAAGAAAATGTTTTCCGTGATGTGGTTGGGTGGGCCCCAAGGGTCAGTGACACAGAATTTGAACCCTTTACGGTGCCATTCGGCCCTTCGCTTCTTGGTGCTCCAACCAACCCACCAAACAAACTGGCCCAGATTCTTCAAACACATTGGGCCCACTAATCTAACCCATCCACCCACCCACCCACTCAAGTACGGCCCAACAAAATCCGGCCCATCCACCTTTCTCGGATCCACCGGCGGTTTCGCGCGCCCGACCACGTCGCGTGGCGCGAAACGAAAACCCACCAGAAAACACGGACGGACCCACCCTGCAGTGGCGGTTTCTTTTCAACAACCGCCGTAACTAACCACGACCGGATATTATCCCGGCGTCGCCTACGCCGCCGGCCGTCCACTCCGTTGACAGTTTACAGTTGCAACTGAACTACCGGATCTCAGACCGTTTCTGCAGATCGATGCAACCTGAAAATGAGTCATGAGCTGAGGGAAAATGGATATGTATAGCTTGGGGCCAGTGAATTTTGAGAACATTTGATGAAAAAAATATATTGCATAGTAGAGACGATACTTGAGTTGTAAAATATTATCATATGTGAAAATAATATGTGAGGCTTTGGACCCACGTGTCAATGAGATGGTATTTTTTAAATCTTGCGTTTTTTATGATGGTATCAGGAAAATTGGTCCAAAAACGATGTCAAATTAAACGAGAAATTAATCAAATAAATAAGATGTTTATTTATGAGCTAGGAGTATGAGAGCAACTTGTATGACAGTTACGGATCACAACTTTGAGTCCTACCGTCAGTGTTTTGTTTAGACTGAAATAAAGACTTTTTTAGATTGAGGTAGTAGTACTAATTACTATCTTTATTTTAAAATATAGGGGATTTTATTCATGTATTAACGAAAGGACAGACAATTCACGTAAAACTACTCTCATACGATCCAGTTATTAGGACCAGAAGAGCAATTGATCGATGAGCTGGCCATGGCAGGCAGCGACCTTCAAGTCGCAATCAGGTCAAAATGGCTCAGCCACATTCAGAGTCCCAGGCTTCCAAGCAATTGCACTGACCACGGTATTTATGCCGCTGTCAAGAAATGTCCGCATTTCCATGGTGTTTACATCCTGCTTGGGCCATGGACTTGTATGTAGGATGCCCTCAGGGCACTGGTCAAAGCAGTTGCTTACTCCTACTAAAATTCATTAAGATCAACTTGCCAATCATATCATGTGTACTCGTGTTGAGCAATGCTATGGTCACACAGGAAATTTCTACAAAGCAAATGAGACTATGACCCAGGAATTTCGTACTCATGTTGTATAGTAGAGAACAATATTTTTCATGTTGTATGTAGTAAAGAACAAGCCAAAATTAAAGTCTTTGGGAAAATCTGTTGGCCACAAAGAAATTACTCCCTCCATCCACAAATATAAATATTTCTAAAATATTTTAAGCATGGATTAAGATTAAAAAGAAAATACTTGGTGTCCCTCGTTAAATGAGGGATTGATGCAGAGTTGCAGACGAGAGGGTGGTATTTAATGAGACAACTAGTACTTTGAAATGCTTATATTTATTGATAGTGGGAGTAGTATTTTGTGTTAATAATATGGTTTGGATGTGGGGAAATTATAAACTATTTCCACATTTATTAGTATGTGCAACAAGAAGTGTAAACACACACACACCAATACATTAGGAAGTAATAACATACATAGTACTACACTTATAAGGCAAAAGAATTTACGCATGCTCAATAATTCCAAAAATTCCATGCATCCCAAACAAGACATAAGAAAATCTTTCCAACAAAATCTTTCGCAACTCACCATCGATCACTAGTCACCAAAATATCTTATTGGAAATCCTCCCACGGCTTGCTAAAAAAAGGTTGAATATACTTTTTATTTGGAAAAAAGAATATGTGGTCTCCATCATATGTATTTTGTTTGAACTCTCACCGTTTTAAATTATAAGTCGTTTTGATCGAATATAACAATATTTGCTATACCAAATTATTTTCATTAATTTTAGTATTGAATATATGTTGATGGTATGTTTGTTTTGTATCGAAAATGTTGCTATTTTTTTACTCCCTTCGTTCTAAAATGTAAGCATTTTTAGTTATGAATCTGGACAAATGTGTGTCCATATTCATAGCTAAAAATTGCTATATTTTGGGATGGATGTAGTATAAGCTATGTCAAACTTAAAAGGCTTGATTTAGTAAAAAGTTAAAACGACTTATAATATAAAACGAAGGGAGTATTTAATTGTATATGTGGTAGATTTGTTTGTGTGCATAGCACATTAGCACAGGTGTGTATTTTTCTCTTGTACACAAATTTCTTCTTTATTGCAATTATTACCTTCCCAACTGATTTAACTGGAGACGCCTCTCTGGCTCTCCTTCCATGTCGGCACCTCTAGCTTGACTCTATACCCGTCGTCTTCAGTCTCCTCCTCCCCTCTCATCGCCACTCTCCTCGTCTCCTCCATGCCTCAGAGGTACGGACAAGGCAATCTCTCTGCCCCTCGCGAGTTCTTGTTTCATCCGAAACATCAACCCCGGCTGAAAGCTGTCGCCTTTTGTTTTTTTTTTTTTGGAGGGGGGATCTTGTCGTACCGGTTTTTTCTTCCTTTTTCGCCATATGGATTGTGGGTTTTTTTACCTGGGATTTTCCTTTGCGTTCCTGAGATTTCACATGACTGTTTGTGCATTGTGTTGCGAGAAATTTGGGGGAAGAATCACGGACAGGGATTTTCCTTTGCGTTTCTGAGATTATTTCCCATGACTGTTTATGCATTGTGTTGCGAGGAATTTTGGGGGAAGAATCACGGACAGGGCGATTTGTTTTTTGTTCTAATCATTTGGCTCTTTTTTTCTTGGGACAGTGATTAGTTGAGAGGAGGAATCAAGAATCGAGGGAGAGGGTGAGGGAGATGGAGATCGAGGAGGCGGGCGGCGCCGGGGAGGATGAGCTGGAAATGGAGGCTCCGAGCGTGAGCACGGTGGCGATTGCGGTGAACGGGAGCAGGAACAGCAAGCACGCACTCAAGTGGGCTCTCGACAAGTTCGTCCCCGAAGGAAAGGTCCTCTTCCAGATCTTGCATGTCCGCCCCACCATCAAGATGGTGCCAACTCCAAGTGAGACATTTCTTCCTCTTGATTCTCTGAATTTTCAGTTCTTGCAGTTTACAGGGATGGGGGGAAAAATATGCAGTCTTTGGAGGCAATGAACCTTGTTGTGAAGTGACTAGTCTCTTGGATGAGTTTTTTTTTTAATTTCCTTTTTCTTAAAGAGGGGAATATCAAATACTATGGTTTGTTGTTTAGGAAGTTTTGATCGGAGGAGGTGTCATTTGATACATCAGAGAGGGGAATTAAAATGAGAGGTTTTACTTGGTCATTGCCACCAAATGTGGAATTCGTTTCACAAAGCTGCATAGACTAGCCAAATACAATGCACATTGTCGTTGTTGCCTACTACTACCCAACCCAATTGATGAGTGTGAAACTTGAGCTCTTGATTATTATTTTTTTAAAAAAAATCTGATTTGCGAGAAGGGACTAATGGATGATAAACAAATATTTTGCTCACTGCAACTAGTGGAAAGATATATACGTATTATGCTCTGTACCCAAGGTATCTATGTGGTATCTTTTGATGTCATATAGGAATATACTCCTAGCTTCAATTAAACGGGGAGGCAGGAAATTGAAGTGCTTTTTATCAGTTCCAAACTTTCAATAATTGATCTAGATCTGTTCAATAGTACCATCTAATCATCTATGAACAAAGTTGTGATTGTAATGTCACAACTACCGAGTACCAACTAAAATAGTTTGGGGTGCTGCAATATGAGGTTGTTTGATTGTACTAATTGTGGATAATTAGGGAGAGTACGAATCCCATAACTTTTGTGTACTAATTGTGGATAATTTCTATTTAGGAGTGCGTTTTTCTGCTAGTTACCATTTCGACCATTTAATACGGAGCTTTTCTTTTCTCCCTACTCCTTTAAGTGGGCAATTTCATTCCAATCACACAAGTGCGTGAAGACGTAGCAACTGCATACAAGAAAGAAGTGGAATGGCAAGCAAACAATATGTTGCTTCCTTACAAGAAGATGTGTGCTCAGAGAAAGGTTATCCTACAATTTGTCTAAGTGCGCTGATTGCGGTGGTTGGTGTAACTGATGACTAAAATAGCATCTTTACTCTATCTGATGTACAGGTAGAAGCTGAAGCTGTTTTACTCGAATCTGACGATGTGCCTACTGCTATAAGCGAAGAAATCAGCAAATTCAGTGTCTGCAAGTTAGTTTTAGGTTCTTCTAGCAGCATATTCCGAAGGTTAATTCTCCCCGTTATTCGTTACCTAATTTATTTGAGCATTTATTTATATTACCAAATATAAATCTATATACATGACCACTGAATGTTTGAAAAACATTCATATACTCATGCTACTCAATGTTTCTATTACTAACTGCAAATTGTAGGGGTACTAAAATTTGTCTTCTGATCCACAAATCAGAATTAACAATTATATATATTTATATTCAGTAATCTATCAGGAACCTTTCGAATTCTTACTTACTACTTCCAGAAAATACCTATCATTGGAAGTTTCAACACTACAGTGTTGCTGCACTGTGTAGTTGTGGACAAATGCCATTCTAGTGGCATGCATTAGTTGGGCAAGTTAGTGCAAATGGCGATAAACTTTTGGGCAGATAGCTGGTCTATTATAATTGATCATAAGGAAACCTAAGATTTCAGTACAATGATCATCCTTGATCATTTAATGCCCCACGTTCCAGCCTACCACTGAGGTTTGCAATGCAACTACTTGATTGCAAGTTTTGTTAGTAATAGAAGTGGACAAACAATCCAAACTGAACAATTATACAGCAAAAAAGGCATTGCGTACTGCAGGGGCAGATACATCCGTCTCAAAATAAGTTTACTTTTATACATGAATATGGACTTATCCTATATCCAAATTCATGTATAAAAGTGAACTTACTTTGGGATAAATTTTGAATGGTATAAGTTGTTATATTTTGGGACTAATTTTGAATGCTATAAGTTGTTATATTTTGGGATGTAGTGAGTAGTCGTTTCACATTCATTTGAGAAAGGCCCGGGGGGTCTTCCGGCTAGCACCACGAGGTGTGGGCTAGCCGACCCGGGTTTGAGCCTCACCACTCTCTTAATAAATTTTGATATGAGAGCCCTTCCTCTCATATCCAACGTTTCACATTCATTTGTTCAGGGCAATTCTTCAGTAGATCATTTTTTAATACAACTTACAATGGTCATCAACTCACCATTATGTACGTTCTAAATCGATAGACCTTTTAAAACTGCTCTATTGAGAATTCACAGCATGTGCATTCTAGAGTTAGAAAATGTGTTTTATATGTGTACAATGTTGGTCACATCGCTAACAATTTTAACTACTATATCAGGAAAAACAAAGGAAGTAAGACTGCGACCAAAATCTGTGAGTGCATTCCAAGCTTCTGCACAGCATACGTTGTCTCAAAAGGAAAACTATCATCTGTGCACTCAGCTACATCTGATGCCATCGGAACACCTGAATCCATTTCTTCTTCAACTGTTTCATCCCCAAGCTCTAGAAGCTTTTCATCCAGTGTACCCTCAGGTAATACACAAGTCTGTATGTTTTTGCCTTGTGTATTTGTTGGTACACCTTTCAACTGAATACAATGAATTCGACTTCTTGAGAGCTAAGTCAATGAAGAGTCAATGTTTTTTCACTTTGTATTTCTCCCAATCTTAATAAAATTGGTCGACCGAACCTTTCAGCCGAACCAGCAAAAAAGTCAATGAAGAGTACTGTCAATCATTTTCACGTGAATGTTTTGAGGTTCATCAATTCATGCACTTGCCATGTTATTTCTCTTTAAATTCAATGGCCGAATATATATATTTTTTATAATCAATGACCGAATGTTGGCGTAACATGTAAGATAACATCTGGTTTATAAACATATTTACCACCCTAGACTATTTAATGCATTTGATTAGATGTAGCAACCTTTTAGGAACTGTGTATTTGATCATTTATGCCTTTTTTTCTCTTTGTCAGTGTACTAAATATGTTGAATACTGCAGAATGGGGAGACACATATGGGTCAGCAAATGTGTCATTCCACCAGCCATCTCTGTCATCTCAGCGTGACCAAGCAATTGCAAACATGAATAAGTTATCCAACAGGAGAGCTAGCCCTTCAGGCAGTGGTGGGAGTGAGATCTCCAACCATGATGATACAGTCCTGACAAGTTCACACTCGATCAATTCAGAAACACGGTTCAGTAGCAGCAGCAGTGGGAATTCTATCTATAAGAGCTTCAATAGAGATCGTTCATTTGATAACTCTGATCAGGCATCCGTGTCAGATATGGCAACAAATCTGAAACATTCTCATGACCAGGTATTAAATCCATTCAAGAAAACAAGATGAAACATATTCTTTTTCAAAGTAATATGCACATGACTGAAAATTTCATGTTTCTCATACCCTTATATGTAACTTCTGTTAAGCAGGAGTATCTAAAGCTTGAGATTGAGAGGCTGAGGGTTAAACTACGGCATCTTCAGAAGCTTAATGAGTTAGCTCAGAAAGAATCATTGGACGCCAATCAGAAAGTAAGTTTTACATTTTAATGGTAGGAGCTATACAATAAATTTGGGCATAGCCTACAATGTCTAACTTTTTCCAGTTGAATGTTTGTTATTAGTTACATAAGTTGGGCATCCAGGACATTGAGGATGAAATTAAGCTTAAAGAGACAGAACTGACAGAAGAAAAGGTAAGGAGATTGATAAGGAAAAAAGAGAGAGAAGAACAGGAAGTTGCCAGAAGAGAAGATCAATTAAGAAATGAAAATGCTGAAAGTGAAGCAACAAAACAGAGTAATGGCAATCAGGAAGGTGATGAGAATAAGACAGGAGAGAGGATTTTCGTGCGCTGTTTTGACGAGTATAACAGGTATACCTGGGAGGAGATAAAAGCATCGACTTTGTCACTGTCTGAGGATCTTATGATTGGCAGGGGATCATATGGTACAGTGTACAAGGCTAAGTTTCATCATACAGTTGCAGCAGTAAAAGTTCTGAACTCCCCTGAAGGCTGTGGAACTCAGCAATTACAACAGGAGGTACTGTCATTTTCTCCCCAACACTCACCTTTTTAGCTGTTCAGTACACTGTACTCTAAGGCAAGATCTAACCACCATTAAACAACCCCGGACGAAGTGCAATGGTTTCATCAATCAAATTTGACAAAATAAAAAGCATTCTCCAGTGGTACACCTTTATTTTGTGATGTGCAAAAGCAAACAGCAGAATCTTCTCTTTTGCTAAGACAAAATTCTTGAACCCTCTGAACTGTCTTAATAGGAGTTCACAAACTATTTATGCAGATATAGTGCAAAATCATCCTCTGATCATCCTTATTCAAAGTACAATAACATCTTCAGTCTAAACGATGCAACTCATCTTTTTTTCTTTTGTCAGCTTGAGGTCCTAGGTAAAATCCGGCACCCTCACTTGCTCCTGATGCTAGGTGCATGCCCTGAGCATGGTTGCTTGGTCTACGAATTCATGGAAAATGGCAGCTTGGATGACATGCTGCAACGGAGAAATAATACACCGCCATTGACCTGGTTTGACCGTTTCAGAATTGCTTGGGAGGTTGCAACTGCTCTTATGTTCCTTCACAGTTCCAAACCAGAGCCTATCATACACCGGGATCTGAAGCCCGCAAACATATTGCTTGACAGGAACTTGGTTAGCAAGATAGGTGATGTAGGTCTATCAACTTTGCTTCCAAGTATGGATCAGTACCTGTCCACAATGATCAAGAACACTGCTCCAGTGGGCACTTTCTGTTACATAGACCCAGAGTATCAGAGAAGTGGCGTGGTCTCCATGAAGTCCGATGTTTATGCTCTAGGGATCGTGATCTTGCAATTGCTGACAGCGAAGTCACCAATGGGGATTGCCCATGTTGTGGAGACTGCACTAGAAGATGGACACTTCGTGGACATTCTGGATGCAGCTGCTGGGCAGTGGCCTTTGAATGAGGCACAAGAATTGGCTTTCCTAGCCCTAAAGTGTGCCGAAATGAGGCGCAGAGACCGGCCCGACTTGAGCGATCATGTTCTTCCAGCATTGGAGCGGCTGAAGGATGTTGCAACCAAGGCCAGAGAAATGGCTTTTAATGGCCACCAAACAGCACCTCCAAGTCACTTCATTTGCCCCATACTTCAGGTTTGTATCAACACTTGTCATGATTGTGACAGTCTCACAGCAAAAATTACTCCTTTTCCCTTTGAAAAAGAGAATCACAGTAACTTTGCTGATGATGTTCTTAATAATGTTTCAGGAAGTGATGGCTGATCCATATGTCGCATCGGATGGGTACACATATGACCGGAAGGCGATCGAGCTGTGGCTAAGTATGAATGACAAGTCCCCTATGACAAATCTGAGATTGCCTCACAAGAGCCTTATACCAAATCACTCGCTTCGTTCTGCAATCATCGACTGGAGAACAAAGAGTTAGTAGCTGGTACACATTCTGGCCTGCATTCTCCAGAATGTAGCAGTTGATGATTGATTTTCTTCTCAAGGTGTAAATTTTTTGCAGATCTCATGTAGAAGTAGTCTTCATGTTGGTTCCAAAAATAAAAAATAAAATAAAATAAGTGGTGTTCATAAAGAGGTTCAAGTTGTGCAGCTTTATCAAATAGTAGTAGTAGAAATTGTTTCCTACTAGCTCATAGGCAAACACCTTCCACCTCACTGTCTTAGTGAATGGTGAACAATTATTTTTTTCTCCTTTGCCATTCATAATGATGTGTTGTAAGCTTGTAATTAGTGCTCTCAACATTTGATCTGATTGTAGGAAATCTTAATGAAAATTCAGTATGAAGCTTTGTATAGGGTTGTTGTTCTATGCTGTCATTTTTGTATACTGTTGGGCTGTCTCATCCTCAGTGAAAAAGCAGAAGTTGCAACCAATTAAAACAATCTCAGCTATTGATGATCTTATGGAAATCAGATGACTTAGGGGGTGTTTGGGAGAGAGGGGCTAAACTTTAGCCCCTCTCTCAAAAACATAAGTCCCTAGGGTAGGGACTTATGCTTTTGCGAGAGGGACTAAAGTTTAGTCCCTAGTTCCCAAACACCCCCTTAATATATCAATCTGCAGCGCAAAGTATAGGACATAATGATGAAGCACTGGGCTCAGGCTCATTTGCAAAGCAGATTGCTTTTTCATTAGACAGGAAAGTCAATAAGCAAAATAAGTTTGCTGCTGTTTTATGCAGCTATCTATCTATATCTTATCTCTTTGCCATGATGAGTTAGGTTAGCTCTCCCTCTTCCATTGATTGATTTTGCAAGTTGTTGTTGTGTGTGAGCATAGCTGAAAAGCTGGAAGCAAACTTTCAATTAACTTTGATCTCTGCGAATCGCGTAAAGATACAATTGTCGGTTGAAAACAACTTGGCCCAGGAGAAAAAAAAAACTAATCACTGAGAGGATTAATTATAATCTAATCACATCATCATCTCCTATAAAGATCTGATGACCATGACTTTAACCTGTCACCTGTCTCTGCAGATTATCTTTATTTTTATTAAAGATCAACAACCATTTTTCTCTTTTTCCATCCAAGAAAGGAACTGAATAAATAGTACTATGATGAAATAGTGTGGATCAACATCACCAACTTTCATCAGGTGTCGCTGTTTACAAGATTTCCTTGCGATTAAAGAAGTCGCAAAATGTTAGGTCACCTGCAAGCATTGCAGCAGAAAAGGGGGAGCATAGTAGTACAAATGATTGATTGATTGGTTGATCAAAATGGACATGGCTCCAGATAATACTCTTGTTGCTGAAGAATTAGAAAAGATTTCATTAACTTTTCTCATAATTCAATCAATTAGTGGTAGTAGTACAATCAATATACCAATTATCAAGCTGTTAATCCACCAACCAGCAGATTTGGTGAATTGGTACATATAAGAATGCCGTCCAAGAAAAAGCAGACGGCCATTTTTTTGTTGCTTTGTTCCTTTGTTCATATCATGGAATCAAACTGAATTAATCCAAACCAAATTTGCTGCTACTACTACTACTGCTAATCATACTAGTAATTAGGTACCAAATCAAGGCAATTAATCCCCTCCTCTTGAGTGATTAATTATAATTAATTAATTAACCAAATCACCACCTGGTAAAAACACTGTCTTGACCAATCAAAGCTTGATCCTTTCCCAAGTTTGTCATGGCGATGGATGGATTGTTTCTAGAAGAGCTCTCTGGTGACGAGCGGCGCGGCGGCGTTCCACGTGCTCTGGCTTGTCCGGTCGGCGGCGGCGGCGGCGGCCGGGAAGAACTGGCAGTGGCTGGGCAGCACGTTGCCGCCGGCGACGGCGACGGCGGCGGCGGCGGTGGAGGAGGAGGAGATGGTGGTGTTAGATTTGGGATGGCATTGTTGGTGGTTAGGCTGGTGCGGCGCGCCGGCGGTGGCGACGCGGCGGCAGGAGGGGCACATGGTGAGCGTGGCGGCGGCGGAGGAGGAGGGCTGCATCGCGGACGCGGACGCCGGCGAGGGCGCGGCCTTGAGCGCCCTGAGGTCGGCGAGCTCCTTCTCGAGGCGCTTGTTCTCGTCGGCGAGGCGCTCGCACCACCGCTTCAGGTACTCGCAGTCCACCTCCGTCTGCTTCAGCTTCGTCCTCGCCCTCCGGTTCTGGAACCACACCTCCACCTGCCGCGGCCGCAGCCCCAGCCTGTTCGCCAGCGCCACCTTCTGCTTCTGCATCATCACCAACACCGCCGATCAGCGCACGCCATGGATCGGACGAACACCTTCCAGATCACGCAAGAACCGGAAATAATGGAAGGTGAGGAGGAGGCGGATGCTTACGGGGTTGAGAGTGGAGTGCGTCTTGAAGCACTCCTCGAGCACGGCGGCCTGGTCCTTGGACAGCCTGAGCTTCTTCCGCCCGCCGGCGCCGTCCGCGCCGTCGTCGTCGTCAACCCCGGATCCCGACCGCTCCAGCTCCCTCTCCCTCTTCCCGCTCGCGCTCGACAGCGCCGCCGCGCTGTCCGGCGACGTGGACGCCCTCCCCTGGTACATCTCCTCGCCCCCAACCCCAACCCCCACCGCCGCGGCAGCATGCGCCGCGGCCTGATCCCGCCTCACGTCGCCGACGATGGAGTTGAGCGCGGCGGCCCACGGGGAGGATGATCCGGCGCCGGGGGAGGAGGTGGTGGTGGTGGAGGAGGTGAGGCTGCCCTGCGAGGCGAGGCCGAGGCCGAGGCTGAGGCCGAGATCCATCATGGCTATCAGGTGTTCGATCAAATGGCGGCGAGGTGGAGGAGGTGGAGGAGATGAGTGGGGGTGGAGGAGGCGAAGGGGGGTTATAAATAGTGGTGGAGTGGAGGAGCAAATGATGAGCTGGTGCGAGTGGATCTCGTCGCGAGTCGCGACCAATTATTAATTGCGACGCGGGGTGGGGTGGGGCCCCAGCTCGGCTCGATCTCAGCTGAGCTGAGTGATTGAGCCGAGTCGAGCCGAGGCTGAATGCCTCGGGCTTGGCTCGTTGTGTGTGTGTGCGCGTTGGAACTTGGTTTATTTTCGATCTTGCCGGCTTGGCTTTGCTTTGCTTTAAGTTTGATCTGACGATAAAATTAGCAGCATCGATCATCGTTGTACGCTAAGGGGCTTGTTTAAAACACATGATTAATAAAATGAACAAATATAAAAAAAACACATGATTTAAACAGAAATACATGTACAAAATAGAGGTTGCACAACACTAAAATTATATGGGAATGATTGTTTAACTAGGCCAGAGAAAAAACACATACTTCAAATGAGATAGACTTAAAAAAAAATTTCCAAGTGGTTTAAGCTCTTGCTAACTTTTCTTTAAAATCTTCGTGGGAATGTTCATTCCATAGAAATTTTTAAGGAAATGGTAGGATTCAACATTTCTTGTTTTAAGGTTTTCGTAGTATGTTTTTTATAGAATTAAAATGCTTTAAATTTCATATGTTTTCCTTACAATCCAAGGGAGCCTAACCGTTCATGTTCCACGGTGAATTATTTGAATGCATGCATAAGAGTTTAGTAACAAGTGAAAAACGACTGGCTTAAAATCGTGGTGATTTGTTTGAAATGTAGGAATTTCACATGAAACAGTTCAATTTCATCAGAAAGATTTGACGGTCTTGTACTTTGTACATATGTTGTACTTCTTTATATCTTAAATCCACAGCACTGCATGCAGGTGAAACCTTTGAATCGTAGCATATATATGCACTTGTTTTTCAGATATTCCAGCATGTACTGGGATATATTACCACCAGTGAATTTAATAAAATCTGAAAGTGCAGCTGTGAAGGTACTCCTGGGACAAATAAATTCAGACCGCCGATCGGCGCTGCTGGCCAGGAACTGTTTGAGGAGGCAGGCTATGTTTTGCATTGGTATCGTCTACAAGAATATTGGATCTTACTGCTGACCAGTTCATCGATCTGACAGAGAAGAAAAAAAAGAAAAGAAACACACGAATGGTTCAGACTAATTCAGACGACCTACTTACTGTAGTAGCTCATCAGCTGCATCTCTCTCCTCTGACGATCGAGCAGTGACGCAGATTCCAAGGAGCAAAACCTGCAAACAACGAAGGATCGATCTCGGAGCAGGAAACAGATCGATCGATGGACCGGGATTAGCTGACAAGACTGCATGGAAACATGGATGGATCATATCATCCAAAACACGGATGGAGCTAGGAAGAGGTCAATGTCTGATCGTGCATGCATGCATATAAATTTGGTTTAATTAATTAACTGTTAAGTCTGAATTCCTGGGACGGTAGGTTGCTGATGTCCCCTGGCAAAACAACACTGGTTTACCTTCCAATCCATGGATGTCGCGTTAATTTGGATGGCAATAATAACTGACGAAATTGTTAATCACTCCAGCTTAATTAAACTGATCGAAATAGTACAGCTGCAACAGGCATGAATCCTGCATTTTTGGGTTAGCTAGCCTGCCTAGCAATTTAAGCAGCAACAGGACGGCCTGCCTGCCTCCTAATTACTCAAAGCCAGGTTTGTCAGCTAGCTAAGTACTACTACTAGCACATGAATACTAAATAATTAGAAGAAAATCCAGATAAAAAGGAATGCCATTGCCATGATTTTTTTCTTGTAAAAAACTAAGTGAACTGTTCTAACACTCAAGAACACACCAAAAAAACAAAAAAAAAAGAATATCCAAGTGTATCATATCAGATAACACATCTGTATACTTATTGACGAGTAGAATCAGAATTAAGCTGGAGATTAACCAACAACGTACGACATCATCATGGGATCTTCTTCTTGCAGCATTGTCCATCCTTTTTCTCCAGCTGTGCTCGTGAACCATGCATGACAGTCGAAGCAAACATTCTAGAACTCACTCACAAAATCACTCCATCAGCTTTACTATAATAAACTGAGCCGATCTCGAGCCGATGCCGTATCGGCTCGAGGAGCCGGCTTGGCAGACAACAAAGCAAAGCAAGGGCCATGATTTTCTCCTCCTCATCATCACCCAGCTGGGCTGCGGCCCCTGAGGAGTGGGGCCCACATGGGGAGAAGACAGGGTGGGCCCACAGGCCCGGCCGTGCGGCTCGCTTTGCCGGTACTTTTCCTGACACCCCCACAATCTCCCCGCAATCATTGGGGGCCTCCAGTCCAACTGCTGTACTTAAACTATTCATTCCTTCATCATTACCACCCCCCCTAAATTATACTGTACTCCTCCAAAAAAAAATCTTTTTCATCTTGAACACCAAATAAAAGAGAAATATACTCCACCACTACTACTACAGCATAAATAATCTCAGGGCTTTTGAATCAAGGCTAGATACTACCACTATTATATATTAGTAAAGTTTATTATTTTGTGCTAAATAGCTTAGTGATTTACAAGATAAGAATAGATTAATTAAATATTAGTATAAAGTTGTAAAATATAGATTTAAAAAATAGTTTTCAAAGAATTCATATATAGAAAAAATTGCGAAAATTACACCACCTGAAAGCTTGGGGTCCAAATGCATATAATTATCCAACATTATTTTTTTCTTATAAAAGAACGTGTAAGATTTCTAGTCCAGATGTTGGAGCAGAGAATTTCACACGAAACAACTATTTTGACGTCTAAAACATATCAATATCAATTTAGTGTATAAACGTAACGGAACTCTGTATGTATATTTTGTTGTGAAAGTAGCGATCGATGTCACCGAGGTTGTTAGTACGCATGCCATTTTGTTGGGGTTGCTTGTAGTTGGTGATGACTATCCACACAAGATAGTGTGTTCATTTTTCGCATAATGGTCGGTCGCATTTCCACAGCTTTTGAAGCATTATTCATCTAATTTCCAACCTTTAGCATGTTATCTCTCCAACTCTATTAGTACTCCAACCAAAACTAACCTCACCCCAGGTTGGAGGAATTATTGGCTGGGCCATGCCTGCCTCCCAACTCAATGGTGGTTCTTGTTCCTCCATCCTCTGGATTGTGGGGCCATCAACTTTTGCCCTGATGCACTCTATCATTGCATTGCATCCTCAGTTTCTTTCTTATTCTCTTTTCCCTGATAACTTCTGCTTTTGCTCTAAAAAAATCTGCACTTTTCCTCACCGGCCGTTTTGTTCAATTTGACTAGGCATGAATGATAAAGAAATGTGCAGAGATAATTAATCTTGTGGAATCTGACCAGACATAATCATAGTAAGGGGGATTTTGGGAGTAAACGAACAAAATTTCGAGTTACAAGTTGAGCTATCAGTTAGAAGCCACACAAATATCATTAAGGTGGAGTGGATCTTCCAGGAAACAAAGGATTAGCTAGAGATTAATTAGAGAATTTAATCCTTGACTAAAATTTTTGTCCATTCCACAATTAACCAATAATATAGTTTTACCAATTAGCCAATTCACACAAGCTGATTAGACTTCCAATTTAACAGTCCCTAGCTAGCTATAAAGGTTATAGAAAGTTCCTTTTTTTTATCTTCAGCTAGCTGGTTTTTTTTTTCTATGTATGCATATGATTATCTTTTGGGGACTTTTTTGCCTTTGTGCAGAGGGAAACTGGTGATGGGCAGCATGCAATGCAATGATAGGTCCCATGTTTATGTATCTTGACATGACAGAGAGGACTACAGGACCAATCTTGTGCTGAAAGCTGCATTAAGCAGATGGGGTGTTTGAATAATGGTTATAGGATGTCCACTTAGGGTGGCGTTCAAGTCCCCTAGATGTTGTTGTCGGGCCAAGTGGTGATTTCTTTTCTACTATTTTTTTAAATTTTATGAGCAAATTATTAATCACTACATGCACAAGCTATAGCTAGCCAGTGATGAACGGCCACTAGAGCTGACCCTACACATTTCAAGGCATATGGTAGTAGCTACTTGATGAGTACTAGTGCACATTTGTTTATGTCCTAATTGGAATGTGATCATTAAGAAAGATTAGCACCATTTCGAGGATTTTAAAATGAGATAAATATATATGTGGATGTGCTCTTGATTATGAAATGGTTTAGTTGTTGATACTATTTGAGAGAATTTTATTCAGAACAAAAGTACTAATGAAGAAGGTGTCACAGGGTTATTAGAAAAGGAAAGAGTATCATCAGGTAGGAGTACCAAATAATTGGCTTGTGATTCAGTGGCTAATGTCTCCATCAATTGGAGGAAAAAGGGATAAGAGATTCATACATATCCATAATCTCCACCGTGATATATACTTTTGACGTTTCCTCGTTAATGCTCTTACTCCATTGTCTTTCTTCTGAAAGCGAGTGATTTGATCGGATTTGCTCCACCAATTAGAGCCCAATAATAAATCAATGAAACAAATGTAAATTAAAATAGACCACCACAACATTCACTTTCCTTAATTGACACTCGTTCCTCGTGAAACCCCTCAAACACATATATACATGATCAAACGACCTTCCATCCCTGGTGTATCGTGTATACAAACATCCCGCTGTCGCTAGCTTGTCTTCAAATTCATCGCGCAGCATGCAAGGCTAGGATCAACTTACAACCCCATTATTTTTTCGCTTGTTCATATGCTTATCTAAATCGCTTATTAGCAAATAAAAGACCATTTGTGAGTAAAACTTCTATACACGTGTCCTTATCTTAGCAACTCAAAAACAAAGGTTGTAAAATAAACTACGATAAAAAAAACCAAAAAAATCAACTTCAAATTCACAATAAGACCCTTAATTTGCAATGAACTTTTGCTTGGTTTTCTTTTGATGAAATTAATTTTGCTTGGTGACATAGTATACCACATACTATACTATTTCCTCCGTTTCACAATGTAAGTCATTCTATCATTTCCTATATTCATATCGATGTTAATGAATCTAGACATATATTTCTATCTAGATTCATTAACATCAATATGAATATGGGAAATGTTAGAATGACTTGCACTGTG